TACTGTTGGTTCAGGGAGGGTAGGGAGGGAAATTTGGTATCAGATGGTCCTGCATGAGGGAAGGATGGGAGACAGGGCCAGACATGATGGTGGAGGTCGAGATGAGGGGACTTGTTGGACTCTGAAAAGATAAAGTTTCACTGCACAGCTGCTTTGGCCTGTAGACAGAGGGAAACATCTGTATTAACCTCAGCACCACGGGCAGCCCACTGTGGAGAGGAATGCAAGGAGCAATAGAGAGAAGGGTGGGGAGAGAATGAACAGAAGATATGAGTATGTTTTTAAAAAAGACAGATATTGGAGCTATTCGCTTGAAATTACAAGTTCGGACCACTACCAGCTAGTATAAAACCAGAGCTGCGTGCCTCTGACGTGACTCTGGTGTGACACAACTGCTTCCGAGCATGCAGCCGTGAGTGTGTGAGCTGGTGACACAATGCTGTCTGAAAGCCAAAGCCTCTAATAAATCCTCACTAATTTACCAGTTAGACCTTTCTTCCCCTCACTCCTCTCCATTTCCTTCCTATTAACACATTCTCTAAAGCAGATAGGGCTGGCAGGCGACTGTGCGGCAGCTCCTGTGGGAGTAGACAGAGGGCCACGAATGAGGGCCAGGTGGTGCCCTGTCAGGTCACCAAGGTAACGCAGAGGATAATTACCGACTAGTGCAGTGACTCACTCAGCACGCCAAGTCTGTATGATACTTCTCCCGGTCTCAACTCACCAGTCAAATACAGGCAGAGCTTTAACATGACACACAGCACCATGTGCGACATCATGAGGCTTAAACTGGGTGAGATCATGGCTACCCGACTGTTACATATTGCAAATTGTTACAATGAGTGAAAGAGAGTAGTGGAACTTTGTTTGTTTACTGCTTTTCAGTTCTGTTTATTGAAATGTGTCACATCTGGTGCTGATTAACAGCAGCAGAGCACGTTCTTAAATGCACCCTGGTAGCACATGTTTTCAAAGGCTTGATATTTGTTCACTTTTTAGATGCTTTTATTTTACAGCACCACCCCTCGGAGTGTCCAGACACAGAGCCTGTTCTAAAGCATCACTCTCACACACGCAGAGAGCCATCAGCCAGGTTTCAGTTACAGAATGAACCGGCACACACAACACCAGGACCCTCAAAACTGAGGCAGCCACCGTCATGAATTTTAGTAGGGGATATTTTATGATGCTGACGTACAGCATCGTATGGTGAACGTATGCAAAATCACCTATGAAATAATCAAATACATGTCCAGAGCAATAAACTGTGTTGTTGTTATGCACTACACAAAACCAAACTGCTTATTTGTGTAAAATTTCAACCAATTCAACAAAGTAATTTTGTAAGTAAGTCTGTAACAAGTTTTATTGTCAACAAAACAAATCCCATTTAAACATGTTACTCTTGCTTATTTTGAGTCATCTCCGGTACACCGTCCACTCACTAGAGCACCAAATGTGTAACACAGTGATCCGCAGCTGAAAAAAGTCCCCAACAAATTCAACATTTACTGCTGTTTGAGTAACGCGCTAAAAACTACACTGCCCAGCCTCTTCAAAGAAATGACTGAGAGCTCTTTAAAAATGACCCAATGTATTCATGACCTGTTTCTGAAGATTAACATCTTTAGCAGGAGCCAATGTCGTCGGGGCCCGGTGCCACAGACAGGGTAGGGAAGTCACAAAGTATTGTTGGCTGTGATCTTTTCCTGGGTATTGTTGACTAAGAATACAATAAAATAAAAGACAGAATAACATCAGTCTTATTCTTTAACTTAGAACAATAAAATGTTAAGACCATATCGTCCCCTCATGAATCTGCTGAACGTTGATAAACCGCTACACTGATTTATTACCTAGCCCTTATGTATACACAGACAGCTGGAATGTAGCGCTATCTCTTTTCCTCACGCTCTCCAAAGGTTACATTAATCCAGTCAGGATTGCATGAGAACTGGAATAATAAGGAAGCTATGACTAACATACTTCACGTTGACATTTTACAGTAAGAGACTATAACACTGCCCCCTCCCAAACATAAACACAGGTGATGATGTTGCCACTGTTTCAGTCATCCAGGATGCAAATAGCAGACGTCCAAGTCACAGCCCTTTTCCTGTGGTCTGGGAGGAGTAAATGGGCATTTAAGCTTGGGCATTACGAGTGTTTGAGCGTGTGCCTGGATGGCTGAGTAGGACTGGCCTGTGTGAGAGTTTAACATGAACTGAACTGAACTGTGGCTCAGCACAGGCCAAAGTGGCGGCCAAAAGCCCTGGAAGCTGTGGTCTGTTAAGGAGGAAATGCCTTAATTCACGGTGGCTGAGGGCTAATGCTGCCAGAGACCACTGGGATTCAATTAAATAATTATTACCAAAAGGATGTAGCATGTACTATAGATAGATAGATAGATAGATAGATAGATAGATAGATAGATAGATAGATAGATAGATAGATAGATAGATAGATAGATAGATAGATAGATAGATAGATTTTCTCTTTTTCTTTTTTACCTCCCTATATTCTTTTCTGTTGCCACTCTGACAGACAGAGAGTGTGTGTGTTGCATTAACTTGCTGGCATGTTATCATGGCATGTCCGGCACACACCCAGTGCCTGGGTGACCTGTGTTGCGTGTCGTGTAGCAGTGTACATTCTGAATGTATGCTGTAAGCCATTTACACAGCTGGGCTTTTAAACTGAAGTGACTCAGTGAGAGGACGTCCCTGGCCTGGGGTCTGTCCCAAAGTCCACACCCACAATAAACTGGCTGCACTGGAGTCTGGAGCACTCGCACAGGCTGACAACAAAGTGTATAAGCTCCCCTGAGTGGCAATCAGGAAGGAAGAGGAAGAGCAAGTAACATCTATTCTTCTTTTCATATCAAGGCACTGCTTAAAATAATTAAGTAGCTCACTTTTACACTGCTGTGCTGACTAGATGGGTAGTTCTGTGCTGTAGCTCTGTGATGGACCCGTAGTGAAATCAGATACGTTCTTGTCAGAGTATTCAACTTTAAATAAAAATACAAACCCATGCATGAAAGCAGGCCTCTCAGGAAGCAGTAACCAGTGTACAAAGTCTGACTAATGTACCTTGGCACGGTAGTTATGGAGACATGCAGAGTTTTGAGGGACAGTTTTTAAATAAAAGCCACACTCATTTTGCTCTCAGACAACCTAAATAAGAAAACAAAGCCACAACGAGCAAATGCGGAGAGGAAGGAATTTGGAGAGGAAATAGTCAATCCTTTTGATAGCCATCACTTACTTCTCCATGTCCCTCTCGCTCTCATGTGAAGGGTAATGAAACAGAATATTATCTGCTGTTTTAAATCAAGCTGCCTGGATGCATATTTGATGGTATCACATGAGACTCGGGCAGAAACCTAACAATGAACCCGACTGACAGATGCAACACGTGGCAGATAGCACACACAATGTAATGACACACACCCGCTTTATATGCAAATGTATGGCAACACTGAACATGTGCCATGAGGAAGACTCAACCTGGGCAAATGCCATCAGTAATTACATTACCCACAAGACTCCGGGAAGGCAGTGTGACTTTTCTTTCCACAATCTCCTAATATATTAAATAAAAAAATGTTCTCTCTAGCTGATGTGACCCATCTTTGTTTATATTTTTTCAGTCTGCTTTGAGTATCATCCTTGCAAAAGACATGGGCCGAGTCCCAGCTATCTCTCGTCCTTCTTTCTCTCTCAAAAGCTCCCTTCTTTCGTCAGCTTTCTGCAGCCTTGGCCCTTGACTTTGCGAGGCCCTTGACTTTGAGAGTCTCTGTGGTCAAATCCATCTGTGTCACAGCCTGTCAAAAATAGTCACAATGCAGCAGCTCCCACAGTAATTACACACTGCAGTGGAGGAACCAGTGTCACCTCCCTCTCTCTTGCCAAGACGCTCCAACAATGATCTTTCCAGGATTGAATGTAAACTTCCAAGTCCTTGCAAAACTGCACTGAAACTCTGTTGGTTTGCAAACATTTCGCTGCCATACGCCTACTGAGAGGTCCACATATCGTCTGTTTTATGCAAAAGTATGGCAAAGGTTAATAAAGTAAAATAAGACACGGCCACTCATCTGGAGCGTAAGTGGGGCATTTGCTGTCACTGAATAATTTGTTGAGCAAATTGAATGATAATGGTTTGTTTATCTAACCATAAATCTGACACCACCTTCTAATGTTGTGATTATTTGCACTTAACCACTGACTGTTGCTGACAGCAGTAAAAATGGTCCAAGAGCGATCGATTTCCATAAACATGCTGATTAGATAAGCACAGGACAACATTTAACAACCAGCAACTTAAAAAAAAATAACTATTCCGACAATATAATGACTCACTGTGTGACAAACTGAAACTGATTCAACTGGCATTATTGTGTCTATAGGGATGTCTCCAGATTAGAGTGAAGGGAGGACACTGTGCACTTTGAACCCAGTCGGTCTGCTGTTGACTTACTCATTCTTTAGATAACACATGGTTGACATATTAGCTGCTGGCTGGTCCATCATCCCCAGCTCCAGCACCTGAACATTAGCCGGCTGCACAGCTGTTTAACAGAGAGGGACACTGGAATGTGACACTCCTGGGTATTAGCCGGATAACTGCACCTAGTTGTACAGTAGTTGTACGTGAACGCGGTTATTGTGCTGGTCTCCTGTGTGTGCATGCAGGTGTGACATCAGAGAAAATACATGTGCTTGTTAAGGTGCAATAACAAGACCCTCCTTTCACCATAAACACATAAATATCCTTTGAGTGAGATAGTCATGATTATCATTGATACTATTAAAAAAGCTGAGATGACTGGACTGGGAACTATAGTGCACAATAGTGACTTAATTGTTGCCATCATTGTAACATGTCTATTATCCTCCAGGGGCTTGTTTTGTTGTATTGAACTTTGTAAAACTAAAGCGGGGACTATTTTTCAATAGCTTTTGGTCACACAAACAGTGAAAAAAGAAGGAGCCTACCTAAATTGACAAAGCTCATGACCATGTCTGCATCGTTCAAGAAGTTGTTGTCTTGCAGGCTGGCTATCGGGGGCCCCTGGGTGGTGAAGACGGGCTTGTAAGGGTAGGAGTATCTGTCCTCGTCCCCCTCTGTGGACATGGCGTTGTAAAGGTCCAACATAAACATCGGGGCAGCGTTGTGCTTTCCGTGGAGGTGGGGTCGCGGCCGGTGCGGCAGCCCCAGGATCGACAGGATCTCCCGCTGCATCTCTCTGCGCTCCTGGCTCTTCAGCCGACGGTGGATGAAACTGGAGTGGAACTCGTTGTCCAAAGTAAAGTTCGTAAAGGCGGTATCCGCCAGGACGCAGTAGCTCCAAACCAAGAGCAGAGCCGGAGCACGTCGATCCAAAATCGGTGCCATGGTACTTGCCGTGCGTAATTGCGCCCAGTTCTGCTCGCCGAAAACTCGGGGAAATGGATATTGAACTTTTAGCAACAGGCAGCCAGTGTTCAATATCCAAAATTAGTGACCGACCCTCATGTTGAGGGAAGTACTCCGAGATGAAACATCAATTTAACTTTAAGTCCTTTTATTGATTGGTTTTCCGGGCAGATTGTGTTCGCGTGGACCCTCTTTCCTCATCCACAACCTGTGGCCCACAGCTATCAACTGTAGTGCAGCCTGCAAACTGCAGAGTGGAGGCTGCGAGCAGACGCGTTTCACCGGGAGAGGCACGAACAAGTTCTGTGGAGGAGGCGCTGTGTACTGGGAGGAGCAGGAGAGAGAGAGAGCGAGAGCGAGCGAGCGAGCGAGCGAGAGAGAGAGAGGGAGTATGTTGTGGTTGTCTAATGGAGAGCTGACTTGGCCTTTGTTACCAGTTGTTGAAAGGCTTGAGGCTACATGTGCAAATACAAAACGGATTAGGACGGGATTTGTATCATGATGCTTCAGTTTATGATAAAGCACATTTTGTCATTCCTTTCCCACAATTCCTAGTGCTTGTTGTGTGGGTTCAGTAATGACAGATGTGCAGACAGTGACAATAGGCCTTTCAGTGTTTAGTGTGCTTATGGAAAATAACAGACTTCATTTCAGAGGGTAATTATTTGCCTCTGTGGGTGAATACTACAATACTGTGGGAGAGGTTGCAACATGCAGTTGCACTGCTGCCACTATGTGATCTGCAGGTGCACTATCTGAATACCTCGGGTCACGTGGTTGTGAGAGTTAAAAGTCAGTTGTCCTTTGATGTCAAAGAGGCAGTATTACGGCCTCACAACTGCCATTTCATGCTGCATTTCTGAAGATATCCAAGCTCTCTATCCCCACTGCTGGAGCAGGAAGTTTGTGACAAAGGCAGCGGTGCACAGACAGAGCACAGACTGCGAAGGAGGGGTGCAGATGTTTGGCAGCTGCTCCATCCCCTCCATCTGCCCCCCTGGCCCCAGCACCTCTTAAACACCACACTTTAATGGAACGCTCCTGACCCTCTTGTACGCTCTGCTCTCACTGACACAGACGGAGAGGTTTCAGAGGGCCCTTGCACCAGGAACGACCGCTCCATCTCGACAGACCTCCTGAAACTTTTTCACTGCACAGAGAGTGGAGTTTTAAAAGCTCTGTGGATGAGATGTTTTAGGGCTACAGCTTGCCAGGTGATTTTTATGACAATAAAATTAGACTTCAATGGCACAGCAAGAGAGGCTGCCAGACGGCTTAAGCTATGATTGCAAACAGAGGAAGGGAGGAAAGGAGGCAGAGCATGTCTTGGGGTATTCTACACTTAGCTCACCTTCCTGCCCATTTAATGTGGTCGTTCTTGTCTTCAAAGGCGTTCCACTCCACTTTTTCCAAAGACAGTTCAACATGGCTTAAAGCCTGAAAGCCTACATAGCCTGCCACTACTCATTCTGTATATCTAATCCTCTATTTGCTTTTAAATGGCCTTTCAGTAGTAGCCTGTAACATATAAACATTTCTATCCGGTGCCTCAGATAGAATCAGCTAATGGCCGCAGGTGTTTACATTACCGCAGTTTCCGACAGGGGACTTGAAAGAGTCTTGGTTTCAGTTATAGCTATACATCTTCCTCTTTTTCTCTCTCTCTCACTTTCTTCTACCTCTCTCTCATTGTCTTACACTCGTTCTCTTGCTCTCTTACCCTTGGTGTAAGGTTGGTGAGGTCAAACCCCCCCCGGTGCTCCTCCAACAACCCCCAGCCCTCGGCTCAGTTTGTGCCCAGAGACGGGCTGACAATCCTGGGCAGGACAATAGGAACAGACCCCCCTTTGTTTTTGCCTCCATGGGCCTGGTGACAGTCACAGTAAACAGTGGGCACAGGCTGAGGCCAGGCTGGGTGAGCCGCACTGAGGGGCCTTTGACAAGGAGAACTAAAGCAGAAAAGCAGAACAAACAGTGTTTGAACCTTCCGTCAAAGACACCCACATAGAAAACAAACCAAAGAATAGCCACAATTTCTCTCAAGTATCTTACACTAAACTCAATATTTTGTCTAAGATACGTACAACCACTAATATATTTAGGAAACCAGTGATACACACTGTCAAGTACCTGCAGCATTACATTTAAGACAATAAAGTAGCAGAACAAAACATACACTAATGCTGCCTGCCCTTGCCACTGAAAAAAGTGGACACGCTTTTGCCCGAATACCTAAGTAAATGATTCAAGTGCAGAACTGCTCTCACGACATCTTAAAATATCATATTTATGGACAACTGCTTCTTTCTGTTCTCTGTTTAGACAGGCTTTAATCTTAAATTTCATTTAGCGGAAACTCAGTATTTGGCCCAGAGCACTTTGAGTGCACACACATACACTCTTTCCACTATGACCTAGGACAATCTGCACAAATACACACCACTCTAACAGGTTGGAGCATGTACTAATCTCCAAAGAAGACCACACAGTGGTGTAGTGAAAAATCCCTGGAAAATCTTTCACCCTCCCACAACACAAGAAAACACTCAACATAATATTGTTCTTACTCTCTTACTTTTTAGTTTGTGGTCTTTCCATCTGCCTGGTTATCTCTATTTAGCAGCTCAAAGCATGCGGTCAGAGGTCAGATTAATATTTATTTCATGTGTTGCCTCAGAGAACAGCAGGCAGCAGTCTTTTGAAGGCTGGATGCAGGGTGGCGGATAGGGTTCAGTTGGGGGGGGGCATCAGACGATACAGTAAAACTTTTTTCAGAGTAAACTGACCCTCAAATGAAGCAGTGTGGGGTCGGGGTGCAAGGACAGGAGAAGGTGGAGGCACATTTTTTCCTCTCCCCCTCTCCCCTGTCTGCCTGTCCTGTCCGCCCCTTGTCTACGTTTTTGGCGTAACCCCACTGTGTGCACTGCACAAACCGGCGGCCTGTTAAAACAGCCTAACCAGGTGGAGCTGAGCTATTGCAAATGTTCCCCTTCTGGTGTCTCACACTTCCAGGGGCCTCATGAACATATGAGACACAGCTGTGAGACAGGCAGAAGAAAGAGAGGGGGTGGGTATATGAAACAGCTTTGAAAGAGTTCACTTTGTACATCCCATTTAGGTTTTGTGTGTGATAGCGTTTGTAACAATCTGTAGTATCGAATTATTGAATCCAAATGTGTTTGTATGCTTTATAAATTTTTACGAACTACATTATTGGTTTGGTATTATGCTTAAACTGAGAGCATTAGATGCCCAGAGGACATAGTTACTACTAAAGAAAACATATTTATCTTATTTGAAATGCTGCAGCTTTCCAGTGCTCCTTGCTATCACTCAGCAGCTACTTTCACCAGCATCCGGTATGTCCCGTCACTCCTGTGTCTGCCTGTAGCCAGATAAGGCACGCGGGAACACCAGAGTAGCTCGGATCTGATTCATAGCTCTCAGCGGTCCAGCCAGACCCATCAGTTATAGTCGGTGTCACTGACAGTCAGAGATTCTGCTTTAGTTAAGCTTACCATAATGCCCAGCTTAGTAGGGCTTATCCATTGCAGGATGTTATCACTCAGGCACTCTGTCACTTGTGTCATCAGCACAGAGTCCGGGATTGACGCTGAGCTGGTCTCCTCACCCGGCCACATACTTATCAGCATCCATTACTGAGGTGTGAGGGCCTGATAAAGGACCGTGCAGCTCGAGCCAGAGGTCCCATTTAGATTCTTGTCTGTGCAGCAAGAGGCCTTGCCCCTTTGACTCTTGCTCTCATCACTCTGTAATGCTGTGTTGGCCTGTCAATCAGAGAGGACCCTGGGTGATCAGTCAGCTCCTCTTTAGAGGATGCTGGTCTGAGTGAGGGGCCATTAGAGAGGAGGCAGCATAGCCAGACTGGCCCAGGCCAAAAGCTGATGAGAAACAGAGGAGCAGGAGAGCCCGAGGTAGAAAGTGGGGAAAGGAGGGAGGGGAGAGGGGGGCTGCAGCAGGAGGTGGATGTGCTGAACTATGTGAATTGTGAAGGGAGGGCAGCTCTGTTTTCTATTTGTGAGGATTAGGTTGACAGATCTGTATTTAGTTTCTTTGGGCCTCTAGCTGCAGCTAATCCCCCTCACCTGCAGTGGGCACCCCCCCCACACACACACCCTCTCTTTCCTCTGACCCTGCAGCCCCTACTTCCCCCATGTTCCCCCCTACAGCCCAGCACAAACACTCATCCCGAGACAAGCACATGACTCGTTGCACTCTGTCTCCTCAGGTTAGGGCCTCACACTCGACACAAATCTCTCCCAGGCCAAAGGAACAGCAGGGGTCTGGAAGAGAAGAAAAAGGACCCCCACAACCTGTGGTCTTCCACATGTTAAGATTTTTTTCAGTTTGGGTGAGGGGTTGTCCCTCATCACTTAGAGATAGCAATTACTCAGAAATTAAGAGCCATTACTACGGAAGCAGCTTGTCAAAGCCACTCAGGAGAAAGGGGGACCTTTGGTAAAGCTGCACATTAGGAAATATTCAGGGTCAGGTCAGGGGCACGGACCTCTTCTCTTCAGATCCTGGCTCCCACACACTCTGACCAGGCCTTCACACTGTGAAAGAAAGACCGCAGTGCCTCCGCAAACACACGCAGCATGCCTGCCAGCAATTCTGAAAGGTGGGGACTGTGGATGACCTAATAGTTATAGAATCTAAGCACATGTCTCTGTTATAACAATAAAGTGACATGACTGGAAGATGATGCAACAAAGAGACAGAAACAGGTTTTGAAAGATTGTTGATGAAGCAATATGTGGGATTTCCCCAGGGCATCGTATTTCTTTAATGTCATTTTAATGTTTGGAGCCTAACACAGCTGCAATTAGTCATTATCTGTCTGTTGCTGCTGCAGAAAGAATGAGCAGCAACATTTGTAGCGTCTTACAGAGCCCTGAAACACATGTTGACCATCATTATCGTTATACACAACCATCATCAAAATTATATTCAAAAATCACTTCCACATGGCTGACAGATACAATATATATATATACGGTTTCTCTGGGACTCTAACCACAGCCAATTACTCCCCACCCACCCTACTGAAACCACCCCACACAAACAGAAACACACACACACATACAGTCGACACACCTTTGGACAAGTATCAGCAAGCTCACATAAAGGGTCTCATTACTGAGTGCCATAGAGGGTGCTAACGGGGATTTTTCTAAACACCACCAGTGTAGGCCTACCGCCTTACACCAATGAGGTGCTAACTGGCCCACACACAGTCCTGGGTGTTAATAATGGACACAGCTTGCAAATGTGCACTGACCTTTAGTTTGAAGAAGAAGACTGGTAGCTTCTTGCAGTCATTTCCAGGTTGTTTTGTGCATATCAGGACATCAAGACTTACTGTAGGTTATTTAGTCACGTACTTCTGCATTCACAATTGTGGCACCCTGAGGAGAAGATTTAACAAAAAAAGAAAAGAAAAAAAAAGCAGAAAAATAAACCACAAGAAGTGCTATGCATAACTTCTTTTATCATGATGTGGCTTAATATCATGGATACCATTTATGTATGCAGAAATGGCTCATTTACGGCTCACAAGTAAAAAAAAAAAGAAAAAAAAAAGGGTAAAGCACCCAGCACACACACTGTGTAGTAGGCCTACAACCCATAAGCAGTGCTCAGATCTTTTACTAAAGTTAAAAATGTAAAAATTCCCTCTGTCAGGATTACACTATTGGATATAATGCTACGGGATTATTACTATTAATTCAACAAACAATTAAGCAGCATTTTAATATTACAGGTCTTATTTTATCTACAGTTCAATCAGTAGGCCAATAGAAATGTAGTGAAGTAGAATAGTATTAAGTAGCAGACAATGTGAATACTTAAGTAAAAGTACTTCAGAATTGTACAAAGCAGAGTATTTAAGTAATTGTACAAAACTACTTTCACCTCCTCATATTTGAGAGGCACAAACCGGGGCGTTTCTGTAGACTAACTTTTTCCACTTGAATCCAGTTAAGAAACACCGAATAGGCGACGTGTATGCATATGACAGTGTAAATATCGTCTTACCGTGTACATTTAGTGGAAGTACTCAAACTGTTGTTCAGTTTCTGTGGTCTTCTCATGGCGAAAAAAAACCCCTAAACAAACACTGTACGGTGAATTCTTCCAACCGGAAATCCATCTACCTCAATCATGTCAGCTGAGCAACGAAATCTAGGCGGGAATTTAGAGTAGGTAAATGACTTAATGGTTAACAGTGCACAATAAAGTGATGGGAACACAGGCAGCAGAACTGTTCACTGAAATTGACAAACTCCGTGCTCAGCTGCTGAACAATGTGGAGGTCATTACAGACTGCCAACGTGTCGACGAAGAAATCAGCCAGTAAGTCCACAGTCACCTGTTCCAGCTGCTAGATTAGGTGATGTTAAACTAGGTCATGGTTAGCTTGTTAGCTGTTAGCCGGCAGCAAACTGACAGTGTAATGCAGCGGGTACTTCCCTCGCCCGATTATAATGTAGCTAGGTATGATTACTGGATTGTGGGCAATGCTGTATATCAATTATGGCAATCTTTATGGCAATATTTGAAGTGCCTTTGTCAGGTGTTAAGAGCAATCATTTCATTCTGATTATTTTATCCATTAACAGTTTCTCAGATGCTGAAAATACCTGCACCATACTGTATAACAGTATATACTGATGAAGCTGAACCGGCTCCTATGCTTGGTTTTTGGCAGCTATTTCCACAGTCATTGTCGGCATTCACAGCAGAAATCACTGTCTTTTGATTTCAGGTAACTTGGCTGACTCCTGCATCATTCATGCTTTTGAAATATTGTCATTGTATCTTTATTTGCAGCAGGGAAATTTTGACCCACATTGAAAACATAATCCTTGGAATAGTGACCAGTCTGTCCAAGGGTGAAGCCCCTGTCCTGACACTGCCCAACAGATCCAGCTGGGCCAACGTCAGGTAACTAGTTTTAAACACGCCATAGCATGAAAGGATTTCCTCCCCACCTTGAACTCTGTAGTCATTTTACACACCAACTCTTTGGGATCCATGTAAGCCAACTGACATTTACAAGATAAACACAAGCAGTCATGTTATGTAAAGAAATAAATAAACATTTACTTACATAGGTCAGGCCACACAAGATGATCTAATTGCTGTTTAATTTACTTAAAGAGGAAATACACACTTGAGCTTTCTCTGAATTTGTATAAGGGGTGTTTTAAACACTGAACAGGCAACCAAAAAATTAAACTTGCAACTTTGAAATTGAAATAACTGCCTGAGCTCCTGAGTGATAAGGAATTGAAAAGCACTGGTCCACGCACGCACACACACACACACACACACACACACACACACACACACACACACACACACACACACAGAGTCAAACACAAATTTGCAAAGGGCTTTAATGTGACTAGGCTGCAGAGACCTTATGCTCTGAACAAAGCAAGCTGTCTGGTCTTGTTTGGATCAAACTTTGCCACAGCTTAAAGCGCATTCTGACTTAGCCCTTTCAAATGTGAGAATCCCACAGATTGAGCGCCAAAAGTTTCACAGAGGAATCAGGATGGTGAAGTGTGAGGGAGGCCTTCTCATAGGTAGCCCTCAGGGTGTGGGGAATTTTAGATGGCTTACAGGTGGGAGCTTGATTTTCAAAGCTGTAAAAGCAAATGTAGCACACACAGTCTGTGATGATTTCTTTAATGGCCTCTTTTTCTTCCCTTCTTTTCCAAATGAACTTCCATAAGTTTTCTTTCATTACTCCCCCACTTAAGTTTTGACAGTGCCATCGGGCTTCAGATGAGTTCAGGAGCTTCTGTCAGCGTCATTAGGAGCGACTGCCCTTCGTCTGTCACTAAATTTGGTGAGAAGATACTCACACCTTCGGCTGGTTTATTTTCTCATTTTGCCTCATATGTGACTTTGCCTGTCTTGACAACAGACATTCCTTTTAGTCAAAAAACCTACAGTGGTAGTGTACTTCATGTGGCTTTCATTTCTATTCATTGTGAACATATGCATCAACTGCACAAACGGCAGTAAAAGTCAGACCTAGTTTTAGGTGACAAATTGGCAGAGACAGAACATGTTGAAAGGGCCTTTTTAAGGAACGATTTACCACATGGATATCCAAATTAAGAACAGAGTATGTATTTTTTTTCACTACAGCCCTTTAAAGATGTGATATAAAACTCATGATAGTGAGTATAGTGTTTATTGTTCAGGAGAGAGTTATTCATGTTTTATTTGTTTCTCTGTTTAAAGCACAAATTCTCAAGATTCTCTCCGTCATCTACAGACTTGTGCAGAGAAACTCATATGCTACAAAAAGGTTATTTGTTTTCAATTCACCAAAAATTCACCTTTCATGTGATCACTAAAGCCAAATAAAATTTGCATTCTTTGCCGTTTTTTCCATGGTTATTGGTAAATGTGGTCTTGTGAACATTTACATATTGTTTCCACAGAGACATCTATTACAACAATACACAGCTGTTTGGTTCACAGACAGCTGTGGATAGTATTGTGGATGATATCTCCTGCATGCTAAAAGTTCCTCGCAGATCACTTCATGTGGTAAGTGTGCATGTCCATGTTAATACGTGAAACAGTTTTGTCTGTATGGTGAAAAAACGCAGACTTTAGACATTAAGACCTTGTAGCAAAATTCCTCTGGATTTGCTTTGTTATTATTAGTTCAGGTCCCACAGATGAAATGTGTTAGTTTAGTGTGGTATTTTAAGCATTTTGTTCTGCTTCATGTCTCAGGAAACACCTGTGGAAAAAAATATGGTTCTTCTGATCAAACAGAAATTCAATTAATGCTGAATTCAAAGAGGCACTGTCAGAAGTATGTATACATACTATATGTATGTGTTAATATGAGCATGGAGCAACATAAGTGTGTGTAACTTTTATGTCACCAGTTGGCCACGTCCAAGGGATTCATTGCAGGGGATTTGCGTTACATAGAGGAGGATGGGACAAGGATTGACTGCCACTCCAGCTCTGCTGTAAGTCCTGTCAACAGTCTTACCACCTTCCTCTCTCACCTCCCTTTTTAAAAATGTTTTCAAGACTTGCCTTATGTCATATTGCCTCAGGCACCAACCATAGACTGCATACAGTCTATGATACCAACTTACCACCACAGTCGGCAGAAATGTGTATCTCTGCTCTGTGTGCTGGTAGAAGATGTGATGTAAACAATATGCAAACATTGCTCTACAGCACCATGAGGTGTCAACAACTCCACAGGGTGCCTTACAGTCAACCACAGCGACATTAGCACTACAATGTTGCCAAGACAACTTTTACTGGTTGAACCAGTTTTTATGTCTGTTTTGTTTTCAGGCTGTTGCAGTTTCATCAAACATTGGTGGGATCAAAAGTATCCTTCCTAAGGTGTTTGAGAATTTTACTGTTCCTGCGAAAGAAAAATGTGTACCCGTTCCACCTATTATTTATTCATGCATATGTCTTCCATTTTGTCCGTCTTAAGATACATCTGGGAATGTCATGTTGTAATTAATATATACTGTATTTCTTACTACATGGCTGCAGGGTCTGTTTTTTTTCCTTGACCATGATCAGATATTGTATCATCAGCAAAATTTGTCTTGATAGTTGAGAAGGATGCAACTTTCCAGAGATTGCTGGATGACGACTTCTGCACAAAGCTCTGTCCTTGCATCATAATCACAGTGTGTTTAGTTTTTTTTTCTCCCCACTATCTTTTGGTGATTTTTGTAAATGTGACTTGAATCAGATTAACTTTAATATCCTCTCCTCTCAAAGAGGGCAGTATCAGTGTTCTATATACTTGACAGATGTGTTTGTGTGCGTCAGGGTAAAGGCATGCCAGATGTAAACAGCAGGTTGATGGTGAGGAAGCTTTGGGACACGCTGCACATCCCCATATTTGCTCTGGTGGATGCTGACCCTCACGGTACACATCATCCGTCTGAGTGCAAACCAGTTTTACCTCTCACACACACTTCACATATTTCCACACATTCAACTACACTCACACAACTCTCTTTTCATCTCCGCACACGCACAGTAGGTTTGCATGTCCCACTAAGCCAGCAGATGTTAGCACCTGTCATAGCGCTTTGTCTGGCTATTATTTCCGTTGGCGTGATCTTGTCCAGGTGGGATGACTCTGTTTCCATCAGTCTCCATACCTCTAACCCTTTTCCCATTGCATGGCGAGACACATATGTAATGCTTTACTTTGCTCTAAGCCCCGTCACACATCTTAGAGGATAATTGCTCTGGTATGTTGGTGATTGCAGCGTGTCTCTGTCTCTCCCTCTCCCTCTCATTTTCCCAGGCATTGAGATCATGTGTATCTACAAGTACGGATCAGTGGTGAGTCCCGCCAATGCCAGTTATTCCTGTACTGTATATTATCCGATGTGGCCTGTTCAGTGTCTCTCTGTTAGCAATATGTAATTATGCCCCTCTTTAAGTAAAAAAAAAAAAAAATGGACCAATCATCCATCGCAGAATATTTAAACTGACATGGCATGGGGTGAAAATGTTGAGTGATTGTGTGGCAATGTCTTTGTTGATCACTGCGAATTTGTGTAATCATCCTTGTGTTCATTAACTTCATTGTGAACATGTGCTGGGTATAACCTCATTATGTAGGCACGGCGCTGATTGTCTGTGTATTTGCTTCAGATATACTGCACGTATAAGCGTGACATGTGTCTGTGTGTGTGTGACTGGGCGTGTGTGTTTGTGTGTGCATGGGTTTTTCCACAGGCCATGTCGTTTGAGGCCCACAGTCTGACGGTCCCCAGCGTTATGTGGCTAGGCCTCCTCCCCTCTGACCTCCAGAGGTTTGGACTCAACATTCGTTACTTCCTACTTCCTCCTCCTGCCTCTAATTGGGATTATATTCTGGGGACATTTAGATTGTTTGTTTTGGTTTCTGTTGCTGTCGCCCTCAATTTTTTTTTCCTTAAAGGAACTGCGTCTGAGAGCATATTGAGTTTTAAGTATATGTCCCCTTGAACAAATTTAGGCCAAAAGGGCTTTTTGACATACATTTGATTGTAGTCTGCACAATTCTTCCTCTTATGTTTCCCACTAAACATACATATAATGACTCCTCAACGAGAGTCCATTGAAAATGGGAGGAAACGTGCTGTCGGAACAACATCCATCAACAGAACTGCCTTCTGCCTGCTGTCATTTTCAGGAAATTAATTTGGTCATGTGCAGAAAAATCAACATTTCATTCCTCAGGTTGCGGGTTCCTGAGGATGCCCTGATCCCCCTCACCAAGAGAGATGAAAGCAAACTCGGCAGCCTCCTTAAAAGGCCGTACTTAACCAGCCAACCTGACTGGCAGAAAGAGGTGAGAAAAAAATGAAGGGAAAAAGGGAGAGGGGAAACTGCTGCAGAGGAATTTGGGCGTGAGAGCTCAATAAAGTGTGATGAAGGAAAGTAACTGAAACATGTCACTTTGAGTAACATACCATAGCTTTAGGATTAAAAGATTCAGTGTTATTGTTTTATTTCCATCTCAAAGATCTCACATTCTTGAAATTTTTTCCTTTGTCATTTGTTTTTTACATTTTGTCCCACTGAAACACTAAGAAAAATTTGACCTAACTGGATGATTTTTACCTTTTTTTTTTTTTAAATGTGACTTTCTAACTATGATATCAATAAAAAGGATATTCATTCATTCATTCATGAATAAAAAGGATAATGCTGCGATTTTTCATTTGCAACCCACCACTTTAAGTAGCTCACCTTTAAAGATAGATAGATAGATAGATAGATTCTTTATTGTCATTGCATTAAAAACATAACAAAATGAAGTTTGACACCAATCCTCTTGGCAGCATATGTTAAGATAAATAAAGCTTAAAACTGAAATCATTAATTATATAACTATATAGTAAAATAAAATATGCATATAACACCAACGATATAACTATAAACTATAAATGATCAATATTGCACAGTGTAGTGGTGTTATTGCACAGGTATAGCAGCAACAGGTCGTGAGACTATTTGATAAAATGTTAGTATAAAGCTCCCTTTTTTTCACAAGGAAAAAAAAGTGTTCTTCCTCAGAGGTTTACCAGTTTTAACATTTTGCTCATGTGACACATGGCAGAGGAATGTGTGTGAGAGGACTTAGCTCGCTGATACTAAGGATACAGAATACCCACACTTTTGTGGAGGCTGATGATTTATACTTGTTTGCACGGTTTCCTCTTGCATGCCCCTGAAAATTGCGTGTTTGCTCTTGTTGTAGATGGAACTGATGCAGCAGACCAGGGTCAAGGCTGAAATACAGTCTCTGGCAGCCATAGCTCCTGATTTCCTCACAAGCATTTACCTGCCCAACAAGCTGCGATATGGAGGCTGGATATGAGCATAATGCTGCCACCTAGTGGCGGTGGATGCGAACTGCCGAAACGGATTGCAAATCTAACAAAGATCTTACATTCAGTTGTCCTCCCTAACCTTTTCAGAAAAAAATGATATATTCATTTGCGTGAGTTCAGTTTGTAATGTTAGCATATTTATCAGTGAGGGTGTGTGTTTGTTTTCTAAATGTGTTTCAGAAATGTGTCATTATATCATTAAAACCCCTGTAATCACATTGACAAGTCAGAGCATGGTTTTGATCTTTACGTTGTTGTTGGCCTTGATTATATATTCCCAAGATATTTGGACCTGCTGTTGCAAAGTCCTAAAACACACCATGGCAGTTTTATTACTCTACAATTGTTCCAGTACTATTGTACATGCTTTGCCACTGAACACAACAAAGCATGCTGGTGCAAAGACTATAAGTGAGGATATGTAGATGATGATTTAGTGGTTTGGAACTGGAGTGTCTGTGTGGCTGTTCATTCATTAATGTACAACATATCAAGGCTGATGCTGCTGTTTCTTTATAGTCTGTTCTCCAGCAGGTGGAGACAGCGTGCATTAAATGAGAATGGGGCTAGAGGTTTTTTTTTTTTTTTTAAGAAATTAAAGAACTTTTACTGTTTTATATGATCAAGAAATCAAGTTGTGTGGAGTAAATAAAGGGGGAAGTGGTGAAGGAACCCTAAAAAACTTAAATATAGATTTTTAAATGATCCAGAACCAGTGGTTTACTTAAGTAAAAGTAGAAGTACCACATTGTCTTCATAACAAGTACAAATCCTGCTTTCAAACTTCTGCGTTAGTAAAAGTACTCATGTATTAGCACCAAAATCTACTTAAAGTATCAAAAGTAAAAGTAACCTGCTCGATATGGAGAATGATCTTTGTTAGTGTTATATTATTAGCCTACTATTGAATCATTATTATTGATGCGTGTAAGCAGCATTTTTATGGTGATCCATAGTAGTATCATAATCTTAATCAAGTCACAGTTATAATCTTAGAAGTAGTAGTTAGTGATGATGATGATGATGCCAAAAGTAAGTACCTGAAAATTGTACTTAACAGTACCTGTGCTTGAATAAATGTACCTAGTTACTTTCTACCACTGCCCAGTACAGTAAGGACATTTTCAGTTTTTTAGTGCTACTCGTTGGAGGAAGAATTCATATTCTAATCTGAGAGTAGCAATAATAAACTGTAAAATACTAATTTACAAGTAAAAGTCCTGCATTCAAAATAAAAACTAACTAAAAGTTAGGGTTAACAAAATATACTCTTAAGTATCAAAAGTGATAGAGAAAAATTTAACTTATGAGTGAAACACTGTTATATAATACTTAAATATAAGTATATATACTACTGCTAACGCATTTATGCATAGTACAATATTTCTGTCAGAACTGTGGTGAACTCGAAGGAATGGAAAAAGGTGAAGTCCCTGAAATTTGTGGGCCTGCAAAGTAAATATTCCACCACTGGTCATGATGACATTGTAAACAGTATCTTGGGGGCTACAGCGGTGAACAGCTTTGGTAATACTGAAGAAATGAGTTGAATTTTGCAGTGAAAAAAATGCTCAGTTTAGTGAACGTATAGTGCTTCCTGTTGGACTAGACCATCTTTGGCAGTGTTATTATATGACTGCCGGTGGGCGTGGCTTTATGCTTGTGCAACACACATCTGCTACGTCACCGCACTGACCGAAAGTGTTGTAATTTCACCAGCTGGACTTTCCAACGGGAAAGAAGAACGGTCTACGGTAAAGCGGTCAGACACAAGACTGAGCAGCTCTAAAGTTGGAAAAGATCATTCAGGTGGGTTGATACACGAACTGTATAAGAGAATGCAGCAGAGGTAGTTTATATGTCACGTGGTTCATTCTCGTCTTCAGCTGGTTGAAGTTAAACTGTTTTTTTCTGCGATCAATTTATCCACGGTTTGAATAGCTGATTCAAACTGATCTGAAAATAGCTTTCCAACTCCGTTGTTCATTTCTTCCTTAATGTTGCAACCTTAAGATGCTGCTGTATCAGTCTTGACTAAAAGCCAGCGGAGAGTAAGGGAGGTTAAAAGCAGCTGGATACAGATGTTATTTTCCATGCCATGTCAGACCTATGTTCAGAATATGAGAAACAATGTCTAATAGTTGAAATTTGTGTACAGTTAATTTTGCCTTACAGTCTATCTAGATCTTGGATGTCTTGTCCTTGTAGTGATTTAAGTATTGAATTCTGAGTCATGGTCACTTAGTATTACTAACTAGTATTCACTAACTGGTACCTTTGACAGTTCAAAGGAGAGACCAAAATACATAGCATTAAATTTGACGTTATGGATTTTATGGTCTGTAACAGAGACCAAGCTCCTGTTTTGTAATATATGATGGTGGGGGCTCAGTATGTCATCACGGAAGACCGCACACTTGTAGTAGAGAAGACCAACCCTTGAGAGGCCTTCCCCTTTCTACTTGTCAAGGACAGCTGGACTGTAGAGCAGAGTGAATGAAAGCAGTCTCTCGGGCTTTTAACATAACATCTTCTCTCATCTCACTGGTCACAGATTAGTGTGGAGTCAGTCATGTTTCGCAAGGCATTTTTGATCTGTTACATCAAGTTGGAGTGGGATGTGTTCAGGTAAAAAAAAAAAAAAATGCTGTGTGGTATTAGGTGACAACTGAGAGAAAGGTAGATAAAGGCAACATTTTTCTGGGTTCTGACATGCTAACTGAACAGTTGGATCTCTTAATATTGTTGAAGTGGTACCTTTAACCAGATTATTTATTTTTCAATTAAGTGTCTTTATTACCACCCATGCTGTCTGTCTTTATTTACCGTTTAGTAATGTTAGTGAAAAGCAGCCAGGAGCAGGTTGTATTCCAATATCTGAACTTTATGGAATATTTGTAATCAGTGTAAACTTTGCTTGCCTTGAAAATTCACAGGAAATGTATTTATCTTGAGACTTTTTTTTTTTAATGTTCCTCTTTTTCTCCTTTCCATTTAGGTCAAGAGTATCACTTATGGACGCAGTGGTCCGTCGATGCCCTTTCCTTACCGTTGTGCCCAGTGTTTTCCTGCAGCTGGCTGGAAACTCATCGCTGGTGAGCTATGCCCAAAAGTGCCCTGTGATGATGGACCTGGCCTCCAGACCCCTGGCCAGAGCTCTGTCTTCTTCAACTTCTGTGTCCAAAGGCACTTCAACAAATGATGGTGAGTTGTAAGGCAAACACTATAATGCACTCCATTATATATGATTAAGTGCTAGATCAATACAGTAATGTGATTTAAATGAATGTGATATATTTTTATTTTGTAGACTATAATTTAGAACTTTACTCCTGTCTCCCGCAGATCAAAAGCATGAAGTCAAGTTGCCTCCAGGACACACTATGCCGCCTGCTGGCCAGACTGTAGGCTCTAAATGCCCTTTCCTGGCTGCAGAGATGGTGCAGAAAAACAACAGCGTAGTAAGAGAGGCCAGCATGGAGCTGCAGGAGGACGTTCAAGAGAGACACTCTTTCCGCACAGGTAAGAAATTGTACAGTCACACCTGCAACTGGATACCTATACAGTAAGTCGGTTATGTCAGTCGTGAAAGGTCAGTGTTTTGAGCATCCACACTGACATACTGGCATCCACATGAAAGTGCAAATGAATGTCATGCATTGATTTAGAGATTATTAACACTCTGCGTCTCCCTTGATCAGGGAAAACTGGTGTGGATTTATCAGTTTTCGATCTTATCGAGGCAGACAAGGCCAACACCGGGGCACCGAAAAGCCTTTTTAAACCAACATCTTCCAAAGTGTCTCACCTATTAAAGGATAATCTACCTGAAGGTAAGAAAGCCAAATTCTTTCCAATGATCAATAATTCACAAAAACTGTATGAGAGTTTTCCGAATCTTGTAAAAAAAAAAAAAAAAAAAAACCTCTCCCATTTTCCTCCATCAGTTGTCACCTTCCAGTATGAAAAGTTTTTTGAAAAGAGGATTGAAAGCAAGAAGACAGATCACACATACAGGGTTTTTAAGACAGTGAACAGGCGTGCCTCCTCGTTCCCAATGGCAGATGACTACTCGGAGTCTTTTCATGCAAAGAGAAACGTGTCCGTGTGGTGCAGCAATGACTACCTGGGCATGAGCCGTCACCCCAGAGTCACACAGGCTATCATGTGAGTAGGCACACAAATCATAGATCACTGATAACCCCGGTCAGATTGATGAAATAAGAAACAAGGGTTTCATCAAAGTAAGCTCTTTCATTTTTTTCTTCTTAAAGTGAAACGGTACGAAAGCATGGTGCTGGTGCAGGTGGCACTCGAAACATTTCAGGGACAAGCAAATTCCACGTGGAACTTGAGCAGGAGCTGGCTGACCTGCACAGCAAGGATGCTGCGCTGCTGTTCACTTCCTGCTTTGTAGCCAATGACTCCACATTGTTTACTCTGGCAAAAATGCTACCAGGTACATTAAATAAAGCTGCTCTGTCCAAAATTGAATCTGATTTAGACTGAAACTTCTAGTAGTCATTTTTAAAGTTAACATTTTCTTTCGTTTACTCCAGGTTGTGAAATCTACTCTGATGCTGGCAACCATGCCTCGATGATTCAGGGTATAAGAAACAGTGGAGTTAGCAAATTTATTTTCCGACACAATGACGTCAGCCACTTACAAGAACTTCTTGAGAAGTCTGACCCATCAACTCCAAAGATCGTTGCCTTTGAGACAGTGCATTCAATGGACGGTGAGTAACACAGCCCTGCCACTGAAGTATCAGTCTTTTTTGGTGGGGTATTTCTTATCATTTATGTGTTCCTAAAAAAGTGTGCCAAAGTAAATAAACTTGAGTATGTTTTCAAACCTTATAATCAAATCCCTATGTTTGAAAATTTTTATCATAAGTCTTAAAAATGAAAATATTCTAATTTAACACTGTGCTCTCTACAGGGGCTGTGTGCCCACTAGAAGAAATGTGTGACATCGCCCACAAGTTTGGTGCTCTTACCTTTGTGGATGAAGTGCACGCTGTGGGTTTATATGGGACCAGAGGAGGAGGGATCGGGGACAGAGACAGAGTCATGCAAAAGATGGACATCATCTCCGGTACCCTTGGTCAGTGAAAGCCTCACTAATGACGGAAAACATTTCCTAACATTCTCATCCGTTGCGTATGTGCCTCTCTGACGTGTTATGGGTGTTTCGTTTCCAGGCAAGGCATTCGGCTGTGTCGGTGGTTACATAGCCAGCACTAGTGCCCTGGTGGACACGGTACGCTCCTACGCTGCAGGCTTCATCTTCACCACTTCCCTGCCCCCCATGCTGCTCGCAGGGGCAAAAGAATCCATCAAGATCCTGAAAAGCGAAGAAGGCCAGATGTTGAGGAGGAAACATCAGAGGAGCGTCAAGCTGCTCCGACAGATGCTGATGGACTCTGGCCTTCCGGTGGTCCACTGCCCGAGTCACATTATTCCTGTCCGGGTAGGAAAATTAATAATTTATCTGTCTGTGAAAATTCCCAGCCAACTAGGTCATGGTATATTACAGTAATAGGTACACTTAGCTAAAACTAATACAGTCTAATACAACAGTGGCTAACAGAACAGTTCCCCCAACCACCAGGCCACCCCGCTACCATGGCTATCCATCTGGTGCTTGGTGCATTGACTGAAAAATGTCATTTTTACAGACACATTGAAATCTGAATCTGACACATGGGTGTATCTGTTTGTCAGGTTGCGGATCCAGAGAAGAACACTGAGATCTGTGACATCATGATGTCTCGTTACAACATCTACGTCCAGGCAATCAACTACCCGACTGTGGCTAAAGGAGAGGAGCTGCTGCGCATCGCCCCCACACCACACCACACTCCACAGATGATGTACTACTTTGTTGGTACGTCGGCCAGAAATTCCCTTATCTCATGTATCCTGCGATACAAAGTATATATAGTTGGGTGGAGCAATCTTTGGTATATAAAATGTTTCGGCAATGTAAACTCTTCATTTGAAGGAATAAAGGACGAAAAGGCCATTATACTTAACAATTAACATCAGCTTTATTAATAAAGATGATAGAATGCACGAGTAAAACAGACATCCGGATAGCCACATTACATTGGATTTTTTCAAACCCCAGTATATTGTATAAAACTATTATCATTTACTGATAATTCCAACTCGCTTTTAGGTACTTCTATCATCCATAATTTATGGCAATGGTTGGTTGTATCCTCACCGGTTTGTGCTCTGCTTCGTCCCCACAGACCGACTGGTGAATGCATGGATGGAGGTGGGCTTGGAGCTGAGGCCGCACTCCTCAGCAGTGGAGTGTAACTTCTGCCAGCAGCCTCTTCACTTCGAGCTGATGAGCGAGAGAGAGAAGTCCTACTTCACAGGCCTCAGTCACATGATATCAGCAGTGGCTTGATATCGAGTAAAACACTAAACCCTGGTTCTATTCAAGCTATTTATTTTATTTACATTAAATATATCACGGCATATAAAATGTTCTGTATCACCAATAAATTTGTGGGTAAACTGTTAATTTACTCTTTTGTTTACATTTTTAAACACTGACTATGATTTATACATCAGTGGTTGGGAATACAGCCACATGTGTAACATTCAGGGATCACAGGCGGCTGTATTTATGAATCAACCAGCTGGTCAGTCAGCAGTTAGCTAAAAATAATTCCAAAAGGCTGTTGGGCTATTTATTTATAAATACATATATTTGTAATATTCGTCACATGCATCATTAGTAAGGTGGGTAAGATACCTCACAAAAAGATACATAACAGTGGACTGAGGCTTTTTATACAGGTCGAGGTTTCAGAGTATCTAAAGGTTAAATTAACTTTTTTTTTTAAAACTTATTGGTTGTTAAAGTGGTGTATTTATAGTGACCATCAACGTAGACATCATGTATTGTCATTTATTTTTTTTAATGTGTCCTTGCTGGAAAATAAATCCTCTCATGGAATAGTAAAGCTCTGACCTGGACTGAAAGCTCTCATAAAAACGTACCCTCTCACATGTAATATCATACTAAATGTATGTATTGATTTTCTGCAGATGTCCATATTATGTGTTGCATAATATCAGGTCTAATCTGAATAATCTATCTGAACATTTCATGCTAGAATAATCTTCAAGTATGAAGCGACTGAGATAACAGATGGGACAAATTTCACACACTCTCTTGTACCCAGTTACACAGGAAACATAGTATCTCAGATCATTAATATGGTGCAACCACGTCTTTGTGGGCTCATACGGTTTTATCCTTATACGTTTATGATAACACACAGGATATTTGATGCACTTACTATATGTGAACTATTTCATTGCGTGCAATGCTCCTGGCAAAAAAAGATCATCTGTCATATCTGTCATAACATGTTGTGGAATGTGACATTGCATCCCACTGTAGATACAACCCTCAAAAGTCAATTACAAGATGATGGAGCAGCTTGTGGCTTAGGGTGTTGTATGATTCTTGTCATGTAGTTTTACAAATTTTGCAATAAAATAAATAGTAGAATGCAATAAGTAGAAAAAATAAGCCATATTGTCACAATATCCTGTACTGTTTAATTTTCCTACTGAAAAACCTACTGATTTAGCAAAAAGACATATGTATCAAGGCCTGTTCATGTATAATCAGCTTAAAGGCAGATTTGTGCTCATCTGGCCATTCATTCATGAAATGCATTTGATGGCATTCTTGGTCTCGCCACATGGCGGCATACTGGGTCTCCTGTTTGCAACTGTGAGCCTGTGATGTCAGACACCTCCTCCCTTTGCAGATGACTCATAGCTGGTGCAGCAGCTTTCACGATGAACCACTAGATGGTATCAACAGAGAACAGGATATTGTGTTTCCCATCCAGATAACATGGAAGATCACTTTGGTTGTAATAAAATGCAGCAAATACACTTGCATGTGACTCACAGCATGTGTCAGTGAAGCAGACATGCACAATCGGATGTTGTGGAGCATTTTAAATCAACTGACGTGTCAGATTTATCTGCTATTAATATAGCAACCTGGTTATGTAACTTTTTCAAAGAAGATACTATTAACATTTTCATTGACATATACATTTTCTATCCTGTGGCCTCTGATCCTCATGTTTAGATAAAATTAGTTCAATAAAAATCCCTATACTCCCACATGCAGAGAAGCATCAATGGAGAGGAAGCTCTCCTCCCATCTGTCTCATCTCTGAATGCTTCCCACTGTACATGTGCACATGACAGGAGTGTGTTTGTGTGCCCGCCGGGTATGCGTGAAAGCCCTCAAAGCGGCTCTTGACATGCAAAACCTGGGATTCTGTAAACCAAAGACCTTTCCTCTCTTTCCTCCGAGAGAATTACCATGAGCTCACGTTTGGAGCACATTATGTAACGTGTGAAGTGTTGGTGGAAATGGAGCAGTCAGGTGACCACTGCTATCATGCAAGTCAAGCCAGCTCAGAATATCCATCTTTGATGTTCTGTGTTTTACTCTTATTACATGTTTGTTTTGATTTAGGTGATTTTGATTTTAAATTTTGAGACATATTCATTACACAGAAGGTCCTACAAGACAAAGTCATCATTTCCCCTAAACCAAGTCCAGTGTCATATACAGCAGATTTAGTAAATCAAATTGCCAGGATGGTGTTGTTGGGAGGAAAGACTGTGTGTTGTTTGACTTCGTAAACATAATTTCCCTCATCCATCACTGTCTTTTGTAGGTGCAGGCTGCTCAGTCCCTTATTGCAAAACGTCTGAGGGCAGATTCAGAACTACATTTCCTGGAGGAGAGTTCAGCTGCAACAGCAATCATGCGGGTATGAGGGATCACAGTCAGGGAGTGTGTGTGTGTGTGTGTGTGTGTGTGTGTGTGTGTGTGTGTGTGTGTGTGTGTGTGTGTGTGTGTGTGTGTGTTTGTGTGTGTGTGTGTTGGTTTTCAAACTCTTGAGATTATGTGGTGGTTGGCCGTTGGATGCAGGTGCTGAAATGGTGGTGTAGTGTGTGGCGATGATATGATGCCTGTTGTTGTGTGTCTGATCAGTCTATGGTTGAGAGCATTTCTGTGTGTGTGTGTGTGTTGTGTGTGTTAGTGTTTGCACAGGTTCAGCTATAGTCCGCATTCTGTGTTAATCCTGATGCTCTGCACATCTGTGTCTCCCCCACTCACGTGTGCAGACAGATGAGCTGCATGGCTGGATTCCCACTGCACGCGTCTCTTCCTATCTATCTCTCTCTCTCTCTCTCTCCCTCTCCCTCTCTTATTCCTCCTCATTCACCATTCTCTTGGATTATTATTCACATCAGTAGTGAACCATGTGAATGTTGTGGTTGCATTCTAAGAAAATTCACTAATGCAGAGCAACATGCTTATGAATTTCCTATTGCAGCCACCATGTAATACACCTTGAGAAGAAGAAAAAACAGACCTCCTTGACACACTTCACCTCAGAAATAAAATGAAAATTGAGGAAGAGAGCAGTTTCAGGGGTGTGTACTGTGTGATAGTGAATATTATCATGATGAAAGATAAAAACATACTTCCGTAGTGAAATCTTCGGCTGCTGTTCAGCAACAAAATGCATTACCAACTCAAAATGTGACTGAATGAAGGACAGTGGAGTTTCCTCCTTCAGGAAGAAAACCGATGGTTTACACCCATTTGTCAGTGTTTGTCTTCTAAATGAAGGGTGTGATTTTATTGCTAATACTGCATTGCATTTGTAATCTTATGTAATAAACTAATGGCTGTTGTAACAAGTATTGTTACATACTGTAAAGGTATAAAGTTATGTGGTGTCAGATAAAATGCAGTATATCATAGCATTTCTGTTTCAAAAGGGCATCAGTAGCACTTCAGATAATCAACATAGGTCATGGGAATCTAGTTGTGAATAATGCTTCATTAAGTGCAATAATGCAATCCCACCTCATCTATCAAGAATTTCTACTTCCAACCACCAAGCTATAAAAACATTATACAAGATTACTGTTATACTGACTCAGACACATCTTGAACCTGCATAGGAACATTTCAGTGATATATGAGGAAATAATAAGTTACACGAGGTCAGTACAAAGTCATTTGATAGCCTACAACAGAACTACTTTAGTCCCTTGGTAAATGTAGGAATCATATTAAGTTGTTGTGAGTGATAACAGTTCCCTCAGAAGTCAGTATAAACTTGCCATAACTATAACCAACACTTGATAAGAAATATGACGGCAATGTTATAGTGCCTGACAAAATTGTCACTGACAAAATGATTCAAATGGTTCCTGCTCAAACCAAACTTTGTGATATTTCTGCTATGACTTTAAATCATAAGGAATAAACTCCTCCCTCTTGAGTTGCTCTACTGTCAACTCAAAGAAAAAAAACCTCCCATGCATCGGAATGGTAAAAGGAGAATGTGCATGGAGGACCCTGGTACGATGTGGAGTAGTTGAAGTTGATGAAGAGACTATTGGCTCAAAAACATTCACATTTAAACTTGTATCTCGGTCATTAAAGTGTAAATAGGTGTCCATTAGTCCTGGGGCAGGTCAGACTCACTGACTGATGGAAATAGAGAAGAGGAAAAAGGATAAATCTCTTCGCTCAAGCAGAAGCGCCATGCACTGGCCGGGCAACATATAACGCTTCAGGTTTTTTTCTCGGGTGAAATGTAGTTTGTCGTTGTGTGGTGGACCATGTAGTAAGTGTTTGCGCTTGCATGTAGTATGATATTGAGTCCGATATGTCTAATGTGACGCCGAGTAAAAGCGTGGAATGGCTGCAACTCGAGTTAGAGTCCGGAGGCACTTCTCTGCTCCTGCTGGACTGCCGTTCACATGAGCTTTATGAATCATCCCACATAGAGACCGCCATCAACCTGGCCATACCGGGGCTGATGCTACGGAGGTTCAAAAAGGGCAACATACCTATCCGGACCATCATCCCCAACCACGAGGATAAGGAGAAGTTCATAAGACGGTGCAAGACGGACACGGTCGTCCTGTACGATGAGTGCACCTTGGACTGGCAGGACAGTGGAGCTCCACCGTCGGTTTTGGGTCTACTTCTTCAAAAACTATGGGAAGACGGCTGTAAAGCGTACTACTTAGAAGGTAAGTACTTTTGCCGTCGAATTAACTCAGTGAACCATGTAATTGTACTTTAATGTATCACATAGATAACGTTAGTTAGTTGTGGTTTATAACCTCAGGAATCGACCAACAGACGCCGCTTTAACGTTACAATTCGATCTTTCGACATGTTATCTGCAAACATTCAGCTAGTTTGGGCTCAGTATTAGTCAAACCTAGCATCTTTATATACTAAATGTAAAGCTAACAATTCTTTTTGGAAGAGACGTTCATAAGTGGAGCTGAAGTTGTAACGCGAAGGGGTTTTAAACTTTCAAATGCATGCTTTGAACAGCGAGGCTGTGACGTGTGTCCTGAATGTTGTTGTGTTCTAACGTTACAAACGTTAATGTTGCCTCGGCGCCAACGTCCATCCTGTGTTGTGGGTTTACGGTTTGTAGGATGTTCAAAAGTTTGTGTGATGTGTGTCACTGAGATTCTCAATTAAAATTCCAAAATGGCTGCGCCATGTTTTGCTCTATCAGGAACAGGCATGCATTTCATGAATGGTCTTTTTGGGGGGAACTTGAGCTACTTCTTTACAGCTCATATTCAATATCCAACAGTGTTTTGTTACTATGTACTTCTTGATATGAAAAAAAAAAAACATTTTAAATTCCATGAGGTGACAATTTCATTTGAAACTAATTTAAACATCTAGATGTGACTTTGTTATGTTGTGTTCTGGCTCTTGTCCAGGTGGATTTGTAAAGTTCCACACAGAGTACCCAGAGCACTGTGAGACCCTCCTCGACAGCTCCTGTCCCAGTTCCTCTCCTCCGCTCTCTGTCCTGGGGTTTGGAAATCTCAGGATCAGCTCAGATTGTTCCGATGGGGAGTCCGATCGAGAGCCGAGCAGTGCCACCGAGTCTGAGGAAAGCCCCATCCCCAGTAATCAGCCTGCCTTTCCTGTCCAGATCTTACCTTACCTTTACCTGGGCTGTGCCAAAGACTCCACTAACCTAGACGTGCTGGGCCAGTACAACATCAAGTACATCCTGAACGTCACACCCAATCTCCCCAACATGTTTGAACATGATGGCCACTTCAGGTACAAACAGATTCCCATTTCGGACCACTGGAGTCAGAACCTGTCCCAGTTCTTCCCAGAGGCCATATCATTTATAGGTGAGTAGGTCAATAACAGGCTTTGTTTAACATAAAATTTACAGACACACAAACAGTGTCTTCAGATTAGAAATGTGTTCTTAGTGTTTGTATATGTTTAGTAGTTTGTTTTGTCACAAGGAGTGTCTTGTACAGTACACCCATGTGGCCTGGCTATCCTTTCATATATATGAGATCAAAGTATTAATTAATTGTTTGTTGTGTTTATTAATAATGTAATAATCAATACTTCTGAATAATTTGTTGACTATAATCATTTGCTGAACTGGTGTGTGAATGTGTTTGGACAGTTTTCATATTATTTTCATAAGAAAATTGTGTTTTACAGAGCAGGACATGATAAAAATCCCTCCCTAACCACTTGTGTAGGCTGCTATCAGTTGTTGTGCAGCAGTATCATTGAATTGTTCTTGTACAGAGCAACAACATATTTGTTTTGAATGTGAAAACAGTGGTTGTTTTTTTGGCGGCACCATAACAGTATGTATCAATTTCACTTTTGATTCATTGTCTCTCACCACAACTGCACCTGAAACCAATGCTTTTGACTTGTTTGTTTGGTGGTAGCAGAGTGATGTATCATGAACAAGTTTCCAAAGAGGTTTAGAGGTAGAATGAGGAAGGAAATGCTGTTTCCACTCTCCGGGGTTGTGTTCGATTGCAGAATCACAAACAAGGCGTAGCGTTAAGTAGACAGTTGTTTGCTAATGCCTGTAACTAACAGGATATTAGATACACTGTTTTATAGATCAAAATGTTATAACAAGAACTGAGCCTCTCAGTCAACAGCAGAACCTTGTGGTACCATTGTTTGGCCAATGGCAGGGTTACTTCTGTCAACTACTGGTAACTGCAAAAAGCCCTTAAACATTGTAGTACAGGAAAATATTAATCATTTTAAATATTATTATAACAATCTGAAAACGACAAGAGTATTTGCAGTGCTTGAGTAGCTGTCATTGGATACCTTTTTGTTGACCATAGTTTTCCTCTCCTATCACAGATGAGGCTCGCTCGAAGCAGTGTGGCATCCTGGTCCACTGCCTGGCCGGCATCAGTCGCTCAGTCACAGTCACCGTGGCCTACCTGATGCAGAGACTCAACCTTTCTCTCAATGACGCTTATGACTTTGTCAAGAGGAAGAAGTCCAACATTTCCCCAAACTTCAACTTCATGGGTCAGCTCCTTGACTTTGAGAGGACGCTGGGGCTGCACAGTCCCTGTGATAACCGTTCTACCAGTGAGGAGCAGCTCTTCTTCACCACACCGACCAATCACAATGTCTTCCAGCTGGACACGCTGGAGTCGACATGAGCATCAATTGGACAGCTTTTTTTGTTGTTGTTGTTGTTCCCTGTGGTGTCTTTGAGGTTTTCTGAGTCTGTCAGATGCCTAACTAGCTGACACAGGTAGTAAGTCAGTTACACTATTTCTGCACCAAAAGGAACTGCATTTATTTGTTAAAGGAACAGCACCCATATGCAGAGAACATGCTCCATTAGATCAAGTCTCAATGCCTTAATACCTAACACAAGCATGAATTTTGCTACCCACTATACATGGCATTAATGAGTGGTCATGTACAGCCATAATAGCAGGACATTTCATAACTTTTCTATTAAATCTAGGATTGTTGTTTCGACTGTTACTTTTTATTCACCAGCTGTAAAGTGGATGTTAATGAATTTCTTTGTATTAGTCATGATTATTGCCTTGATGGTCTAAAAGGAATCTTTTGCCAATCAGAATGTTTTTCCGTGGACCAATCTGAGACGTTTTGATGGTACGCTAGCAGAAGAAAATAAGCTACTACAGTGATCCAGCCTTGAATTACCGTCCAGTTTTTCTTCTGATGACAGTTTGCAGTTCTCTTGCAGCAGAATGGACCATTGAAACCAGTTTTTCCTGTGCTTTTAGTCAGAATACCTTAACTTACATCTGATAAACACCAGGATATTAGATAAGTGACCACTTGTTGCAAAATATCAAAGTTAAACCATATTACTCTTCAGAAACCCTCCTGTACATTCCAATGCTTGTAACTGCATTATTTGCATGTGATTATGTTCTACCAAGAACCTTGTTTTGTAACCATTAGGTCATATTGCCTGTTATTGTTGAGGCATTGACCATACCTTAACATGAAACTGAACAAAACACAGTGAATAGGAGTGGGTTTTTGCCACGATGGGAAGGAACAAATGTGTAAGTAAACAGTGTATAGAGGAATGGATGTCCACCTTATTTTTTACTCCGTCAGTCTTCAGCCTGCAGCTACTCCTTCTGTGGCACAGTAATGTTAAGGGAAACATGATGTGTAATTAGCTGTTCTCTTTTGCCAGTCTCGTCACAGAACAAATTTTTGAGTTCGATGTATGAGAGGGAATGAAAGGAAAAGGAGTTTGACTAATGTGTTCTTACCTCACAGAGAGACATTTTCAGGGATTTTTATACAAGGCATCTGTAGCTCGTCATGGCCTCTTAAAGTGCATCCAAGGGCTGTTTCTTTGCTATGTTTGTAAAGATGTACATAAAATGTGGTTGTTACAGGGACATTTTCTCAAAATCATGAAGAATGCGAAAGTGATCCTATTTTGACCCTTATGTATAGTGTATGTAAAACTAAATGTCCAAGACATTCTGTACAAGTTTATACAACAAATATATTGTATATTTTTACTTGAATATCTTTTGTTTGTCGTTGTTTACACTTTGTAGTTTTTTACTTGAAGTTCGTAGCGTACTTTCATAAACTAAAGGGGTTGTGTGGTTGAGTCAGGACCAAACAGTGCTCTGAGTTGCGGTTAGTGGCTCTACGCTGTCCAGTCCCAAGGCTGTAGGTGTGGTCAGATGTCTGTTTTCTGTCCACTCTGATGCTTGGCTTCCTGTCTCCCACGAGTTTTTTGACACAAAGACAAGTGACAGGGCCGGATCTGTCAATACCACAAAGCAGCCACACCCACTACCAGTCATTCAGACAGCGCTCAAAGGAAGAGGAAGATGACACAGCATGTACTCTACCGCAGATACAACATTTCCGACAGCTCTCCTCTGCAGCTCAGGGAGTGATAATGTTTAATAACTGTGTTGCGCAATAGCCATTGAAAGTGCATTAGTTACACATCTTTTTTTTATTTGTTTATTATGGTTTGAACATTTATTATCAACAGTGTAATATCCTGTAAAGCTATGAATGTAGTTTGTTGTTTTAAAAAGAGGAAATGAAAGTTCCCCATTATCTACACATCTTTGCTCACAATTAGAGAGAGAAATTCACATCTTTTACAATCCCCATGATACACTTTTAGAAGTAAGGAATTTACACCAAAAGTAATATTAATTTAAAATATGAATCTAAAGCTAACTTGTAAGCTTCCAGAAATCAAACAGGGAATCTTAAAACGCATCGTGAGTGTGTTGCATAATGCCTTTCAAAACTAATTTTAGGAGTTCACAAGGTGAATTTGAATAGGTAGGTATGTGTGTCATTGCTAGTGACAGAAATCAGTTGTGCTTGCTTTGCCTTCTCACCCAATGATTAGACCACACAATGAATGTTTCCAAATTTGTTTAGTTGCTGGAAGAAATATATGCTCTCCTTCTTCCGAGCTTTCTCAGAACTGTGTTTCATTCCAGCTCCCTGAATGCTTGATTGGTTTGGTATTGTTTCTGGTTTGTCTGGGAGATTTATTCATATGTTCTTTGCCAGATGACAGAAAGATGATGCAGTGAATTCCCTTCCCTGAAGAAATTATCTCATGAACTGAAGCCAAGCTTTGTAAGTCAGGAAGAAAATAGGTGGGGGAAATGTTCTGGAGTTGATCTGTGCTGCAGTTCACGGTCCAATAACTGTCACTCTGTGGGATTTAATGACTTAAATACTGCACTAAAACTGTTTAAGTTCCAGCTCCTGGGCTGAGACGACTGAGAATATTCTAGCTGGCTAAAACTAAAATCTCCAACTTTCACAGCAGCACATGAAGAGACTTGCCGAGCAACACCTCGCAGTTGTGACAATAAAAGCTGTTGAGTGATGGGTTTTCCAGCATGACTGAACCTGGCTGACCACATACCTGCAGGGTAAACCTGTGATTAGGTCTAAAATGACACCCATGATAAGGCAGAGGCAATGGGGTGGCTGCAATGCATGAAAGAAAGGAGAACAGTGCCTGGGGATGATGGAAGTGAGAACCATTAATCAGAGAGGTCTTATCAGTAACTGGCACTGTACACTTACAGGATATCAGCACTACTGTACAGGAGTAATAAGTAATGATTTATATATTTGCACGCTGCCAAATACCAGTTTTTTATTGCTGTTGCATAGCAGAGTCTTTAAACACTTACTTACTCAGATATATAACGTGACTGTTCATGAGTGGGATTCCCTTGCAGCTGCTCCTCGGTGCTTTTTGGCACCAGCTATTCCTTGCTGAGGGTCTCACCTGAGAGTTAAGCATAGACTTTTGGATTCTGTAATTATAAATCATTTTGTGTGCTGCTGCCAGCTTCAAAGGCAAGGTGTGGGGTCTTGACAGCTCCTGTTTTCCCCTGTTACTAAGTTACTCAAAAAAAAGGCAGTAGGAAATTCTTGCCTGCTCTTGTAAATAGAAATTACAGAGCTCATTGTGAACGTTTTAAATGAAACCTTTGATGAGAAAAAATTATAACTTCAATATATAGAAAAAAAGGATGCAAATGTGTGTGTGTGTGTGTGTGTGTGTGTGTGTGTGTGTGTGTGTGTGTGTGTGTGTGTGTGATTCACAAGCTTTTGTTTTTTTGCTGCTGTATGTTTTGTGTGACACATAAATGGAGTATTTCTGTCCTGTTATGATCACTCATGAAGGGAAGCAGAGGCTAATGCAGTGCTTACTCAGCAGTAGTTGCTGGGGAAGCAGATGTGCATGAGACTGACAGGATTTTAGCTCAGGGTGGGGGCATGTGTCTGTTTGCAAGCATGCTTATTGTGTGTGTGTGTGTGTGTGTGTGTGTGTGTGTGTGTGTGTGTGTGTGTGTGTGTGTGTGTGTGTGTGTGTGTGTGTGTGAGTGAGTGTGTCAAAGCAGAAGCCAGTCAGAGCTGGTTCACACCTGCTGTGGTTATAAGAACATACTTAGCATACTTAATGAGTGACAGTAATTTCACAGCTGCTTCTGATGCACAGTAACTGTGGAATAGTTCATTTATTCAGCTCGCCCTCACTGAATTCAGGGACTGAAGTCATTATTAGATGAAGACCAATTCACCTCATTGTCTCAGTGGAATTAATTAGTGTTTTTGCATTTCCACAAAATAATTGTTGTAATAGGTTTGACATTTCTGAAAGGGTCACTGTTATCCTATTACAGATAAATGTCTGTCCATCTTGCTGTGAAAGTCTTTCTCATCTGAATAACTGCCATCTTTAGTGCAGGGCTTTTTTACTCCCAGTGGTCTCACTCTTGTTTGTGCACAGCAGATGTTCAGGGTTGAGGAGAATAATCCTAATCTCAGTATTTGGCTGAATGCTGTCGCTGACATCATGTCACTGAGGAGGGGATGACATCATGGATGCTGTGCCATCCTCTGAGCCACGCTCTCTCTGTTTTTGAGAAAGGCCGCTTCTTTTCATATTTTCAGCAGTATGTATGATTGGAAAACATTCAACGCTTGTTACCAGCAATGATGATGATGAACATGGAAAATTTTTGCATCTTCTAAACCAGTATCACTTAATGGTTTCACTGAAACAGGGAAAAAACCCTCAGACGTGGTTTCATGGAGGTATGTGTTGTGTGGAGGTGTGTATTGGAATTGGCATGTATTATCATGCCAGTGATTTCATGTACTGTTGTTGGGGATTGCCATTTGATTGTCAGAGCCCTTGAAACACACTGAAACTATGTGCAGTGCTTCCTGCTTCTATGTATGTGTAATGGAATAAGTTCAAACCCAAAGTTAGACCACTTCTCATAGATTTAGCTGAAGCTGAACAAGATGGTTTGGATGATTTGTTAAACCACAACTAATTATAACGAAATACTTCAAATCATACGCTTAAATATCTTGTTTGTGACAGTGATGATTCAGATGTCTGTTGTTGCGACATCCATTATGTCGTGCTAGACTTTCTGCCCATCTAACAGGAAGTATCTAATCTCTTCAGGAACCTACTGCTTATACACAATCTTTTCAAAACAGTCCTCACAACCCTCACAATCCTTTCTGCGAGACATGTATGTTCTCTGAGGAGGAAGAAAAGTGTGAGTTTTGGCAAAGGGAATAGTGGGTCATGTGTAAAGCAGAGCCACATGGAATACTAGTGGCGGAGCGAGGCGGCCATCTGTTATTACCAGAAGTCGCTCATTTTGTGGCCAATTTCACCATCCGGTGATGTACAGTAGCCTGTGCTCACCAAGCAGAGGAACAAAGTGATATTTGTTTGCAGTTTTATCTGTGGCAAAGTGAATGAAAGGGAACATTCCTAGACCCAACACAAAGTAAAGGTCATCTGTCAGTCATGTGTTGTTGCTTGGGAACTACAGAAGAGGTCATGCTGGGAACTGTCTTGCCGTCTGGTATGCCATTCACACAAGGCCATATGTTGCTAACAGTACAGAACTGCTGAGTGAGCCAATGAGCATGTCTGAGCCTCAGGATGTGCTCCTACAACATCAGGGACCAAAATGATGAGGTCATAGCGAAGAGGACAGGAATCTCCACTTGTCTGAGACTTAAATAACTCAATTAACACTCAGTTAGCCATGTCATATGTCTAGGACTAAAAATTAATATCTCCAGCTAAACAAATAGACATATACTGTAGTGGATCATAACTCACATTCACTAAAGTACTGTACTTAAAGCAGCTATAATCAATATTTTCATGATAACAAATGATCAAATGACTGTATGTGATGTGAGAATGGTTGCTCGAATTGATGAACCTTCAGAGAATTGTGGCCAAAAAATAAATTATCAAAGCTTTAACTTCAATTTTGATGAGGTTTAATCTGTCCATCTTGAGTTACCTCTACTCCACGACACCCCAGAGGCAAATACGAATTTTTGACTCAGCTACATTAATCATACACATATAAAACATGTGATCACTTTATAAGATAAAATACATTGTTGTAGAAATAACTACACACAAATTTGTAAATAATATTTCTACCTTGACCACCTACAGCACATTATACAAACAATTCAATCAAATTTTATTGTATATGATTATATAATAAGAAGTGCATAAGAGGTACTTTTAACATTATTCATTACATTTTGAGTGCAGAAATGACTTTTGTAAAGGAGCGTGTTTAGCATGAGCAGAGTAGTTTTCCTACTTCAGTTAAGTAAATGATCTGAATAGGCTATTTCTTCAACCATTTTATGCACAAGTTTCCTTTTTGAAAGTGGTAAAAATAGATAAACCCTCCAGTGGTACATTAAAACAAAACAATCGCTGTTATTCATTTGAATCAATGAATAGTTATTGTGGAATTTGTGAATTCTGTGTCTTGTAGTCTTGCTGTTCTATGGGCCATTATAGCCAGGCAGTGCAGGAACAGTACTTCAGTGTTCTCAGCACCAGAAGTGGGATGGAGCATCATGATACAATATTCTGTCTGTTCAAATTTGATTTGCAGTCCTTCCACTCTCTCTTTGTCTAAGGCGTTCCACTTCCTCGTTGTGTATTTATGGCAACAAAACAACCTACCAACCTCTCCAAAATCATCGACGTTTCTGTATCTATTCAGAATATGATCATTCATAATCAACCAATCATAATCAATATGGTTCCCTTTTGTTTTTGAAGAAACAGAAGTATAAAATCATCCTTTTACCCTATTGTACTATTTATAGCACAAAACATCACATATAAGAAGTAATTATCACATAACATAAAAAAGAATAATAGCTCACAATAAATCTAGAGATTTTGGAAGCTTATATTCATATATTTGATGCCATTGTGACCGGTGAATGAGAAATTTCTAGAGATTGGGCTGTGATATTTGGCACTGGACAACTTCCAAGATCATGTGATGTAGAGAAGCAAGAAAAACAGGAATCCTCTAAACCCAGAAGCCCGCTGGCTTCAAACTAGGTCTGAATGTGTGGGCGGCAGAGAGATGGTATGAGTAGTTAACGCCTTCCAAACTCTAAACGGGGTATTCCTCGCTCGTCCGGGGATTTTATACATCTATAAATCATAGTGAGCCGGGAAGAGGTTATGAAAACATCACACTGTTGGCGTAGCTTAGTAACCCAGTTTTAGGACAATTTCATGGTGGATCGTGACTCTTGTAGATCTAATGGTTTGAAACGGATGATTTATTAATCAATAAAGCAGTGGAGCAGTGTGTGTGTGTGTGTGTGTGTGTGTGTGTGTGTGTGTGTGTGTGTGTGTGTGTGTGTGTGGGTGTGCACCTATCTAACAGGGGACCTCCCAGTCATCCACACACCAAGTGTGGATTGGTAATATGTTGCAGCTAAATGTTAACCACTCATGGTTTTCCATCATATAACCCCCTAATTCTATTATTTTTATTCCAGCACCCAAAGGAAAGAATCAATACCTTTAAGAAAAAAGTAAAGCAGTGTGTAACTAAATAGCTCAGTTTGTTAGAAGACTGGCTGAAGAGGCCCAGGGAATTCAGAAGTTCAATACCCAAAGTGAAGACTCAAAGGCTATAATTAATACAGCTCATATATATCTGATCAAATGGCTCAGGGTGTTTGAGAACTGATTTGAATTTTGATGTCCGACTTCCAAAAGACGAACATAAAAGGTTTGAGAAAGACAGCTGAAATGGTCCTGACCCACTGTCTCAGGGAGTCGGAGTCTGAGGTCTATTGAGATGTTTCCAGATCAAGAACTCGATTGTTGTGATGCTTGCTGATGTTGATGAAGCACTAGTCTGGACAAACAGCTCTGGGTACTAGAGGACCACCAAGTTTTGAAGTCTCTCTGAATTTCAAATTCCTACAAATAAAGTAAACACTCAAACTGCAGTGTGTTTTTACAACTAGCTCAGGGTAAAAGAAGTGCTTGGAAGTTTTGAGGACATGGCTTTGATCCTCATAAGGCTGACTGAATTTTGAAGTCCAACACCCAAAGACTCAAATGCTTGAGGAAGTACAGCTGAGACGTGTCTGGGTGCTAGAACATTGCTCTGAAGATTTAAGGTTGTGGATTCAATCCTTAAATACAGTATAGCGCAGTATAGTGCAACTTGACACGAGTATTTGCCGAAGCAAGATGTACATTTTAAAAATGATCCATTTTTGGAAGACATCAAGAAAGCCTATGTACTAGGCTGTGTTCACAACAGACACTTCCACTGCAAGCTGTGGAGGTCCCCTCTTTGATAGGTAGACATCATCCAGGGCTCCAAGTCCTCTGTTGACAATTTTTAACAGAAAATTAATTAAGTAGTTTTTCAGTTATATTATGGAAGAAGGTGTTAAAGGTCTTTTTTGTTACCAGAAATAGTTGTCCAATCTTGGCTGTTGTAATGCGACAGTCCACTGTTGGTAAGGTAGGAACGTATAGTGTGTGTGTGTGTGTGTGTGTGTGTGTGTGTGTGTGTGTGTGTGTGTGTGTGTGTGCGTGCGCGCACTATATACAGCACTATTTCTGCCTGGCTCACTCTTAGCCAATGGAATAACCTGTTTTACCCTGCATAGACACACACATGCACTCACACACACACACACACACACACACACACACACACACACACACACACACACACACACACAGACGCAGTCACACTGGTAGAATAAAACTGAATGAAGTCAGTTACATAATATTGATAGCTTGCTATTACCTATGCAAATCCCCACTCTCTCAGTCACTTTCAAAGGTCAGTGTTACAGGGATGTGAGTGTCACACACAGTGGCTTATGTTACCCCTGAAATCCACATTACCAAAGGTGGTTCATAACCGCAGTGTGTGTTAATAACAGCAGGCATGAGTCATCAGGCCTGTCTTACGTAACTGCGTCACTTCTCCACCCAACTTGCTGTTAGTATGCCACACCCCATATTCATTCACACACTGCTCTGCTGCTGCCCAGCCTCTCATTGATGGCAGGGAGAGCACTACTCATCCTGTTCTACGCTGCAGACGGAAGCTTAGAGTTTTTAAAGAACTCGGGCAGCAGAGCAGTCTAATCTGTCTGATAAAAACTATCACATCCAATTTTAATCTGACACCTTTTCCACTCATATTATCACTTGGTCTTAATGCAGTATTTTTGGACTTTGAGATAAGTGTAGATAGTGCAGCAGATGTGGTGTGTATTTGTTAGACAGTTAAGATTGGTCTGGCAGAGCAGCTGTGCTTCACTGCTGAATGGGGTTTAGAATCCCATAAGTAACACAGACCATGGGGACTGAATGGAGCTAACAGGACCCTCAGGGAGATGCAGAAAGATAAAGGGAGGTGGGGAGGCCTTTGGACATTGTCATCGGTCAGGCCACTGACGTCACCTGCTCACACCAAATACAGTTGATCCCACTTCCCATAACGGAACTATAAAAAGACCAATGATTTAAATGATAGGGGATCTCTAAAAATGTTATATATTTATTTTATAAATGGATATAAAGTAACTCTAATCTTCATCCAGTCTGGAGAACAGAATGGGATTTCATTTTTCATTTTCATTTTCAAATACTCTAATGAACGAATGGTGTAGCCTATTTGTGGTGCAAATCCATCAACCCCTTCACGTCCTGACTGGATCTATATTTTTTAACAGACAGGCAAGTTGAGTATTACCTGTCTTTGGAGAGAGTGTAGCTGTGCTGGGCAATCTCTGCATCTTCTGGTTCCTGTAACTGACCCAGACGAAGAGATAAGATTGTGTTTTCCTACTGACATCAAGTGGCCACAGTGTTAACTGCATAATTCCTCTGCTACTAAGACTGCAGCCTGTTCACCTGGGAGTGATATTCTACACAACTAACAGAAACAAATCTGGATGTTATCAATGTGTTTCTCTATTGTTTTGATGAGGAATTTCTCTGAAAATGGCACAAGAATCTAAAATCACAGAGAAAAAAAAAATACATGTGTTTATTCTAGAGTGAGAGGCCTGTGGCTGAGTAATAAATATTTCTACTGTAATTATCCAAATTTTTCATTGCACTAACATATGTCAGAATTAAACCAGTTTAACAATAGAAGTGTTTACTTTGCTTTGTAGTTGAACACTATTCTTTATATGGTCAAAGGCATCTGATTGTCAACTGGTGTCGGTCAATCCAGATCCCCTAACATGGGCACTAACATGATTAGACATAAATAGCTCCTGTCCCAATAGACAGTGTAACTAGATATGTACACGACAACTATGTGAATAGTTCACATGCCACAGACAAAAGCCACTATAGAAAACAAGATACACACATAAATCAAAATTTAAGTTCAACAGCTCAGTTTCACAGAAAAGTATTCTGTTTTGATATGAGGGCAGTCATAATTCAGGCCGCTTTGGCTTGTTTATTTGCTGTGTGAGCAGCCAAGCCGGGCACAGAGGCAAGCACGTGAGCAGCCTGTAAATTCTGGACTGAGATAGTAAAATAAGAGTTTGCTTCACAGTAACAACTGCTGATTTAAGTCACTGATGTGACCGTGTTGTGTGCACTGTTACCTCAGATAATAATAGAGAACCCAGTAAGACAACAAAAGCAATGACCCAAGGACAGAACAACATGTCTGCAGGATTCAGCAAGCCAAACACTTCTGCAGCATCTCAGCTCTTTTCTTGAAGTGAATATGAGAATATTGACATTACATTTTTCAAATAAAATGAAAGATTGACAAAAATGACTGCTTTTGACAAATGCATCTTGTTTATTACATGAGCGCACATTCCAACTTTTTCATGTAGAAATGTGCAGACGCTGCAGACATTTCAGGGACATGAGAGAGGAGTAAAAAGTCCTGAGGGTATCTGAAACATACAGAATTGTATGTGCACTTCATTACATGCACAGTATACAGACTGCATCCAGTGCATTGCTCAAAAAGTGTGATTAGTCTACCAGAGCCCATGGTGTAAAACAATGTTGCCTCATGGATACGTTCTGATTTGTGCACACATACATTTTCTGCACAGCTAAACAATATCAGCCTCTCAGTAAGAAGATTTGTAAACTGGCTGTGGCACTTCAGAGATAAGATTGAGCCGGAAACAAACACACAAGTTGATATTTCTAAGCAGCCAAACTGTTATGCTACGTGTCCTCTCTAGAAAATGAGAAGAAAAAAAAGTCATTTGGATACATTTACACAAATTCAGTATACATGGGCTCCAAAAGTAGTTACAATCTGTATTTACAACAATGCAAGAGATGGTAGAAAAATACAGAAACATTCGGATACAGTATTTGACTAAATCTTGCAAAGTCGTTCCAAGGATCTCTCAATGGCATCCAAAGTCAGCTTCCAGTTCTCCACAGATCACCGTGGACTCACAGAGAAATACAAAAATAACACTCTGGATCTTTTTTCAGGATTACTCCACTCCTTTCATGAACTCCAGGAACTCTGTAAAATTAAGGGAGACACACGGTTAGCAAATAGCTACTATTTTAAAGGGATGAATGATGAATGATAGATTATAGAAAATGAGCATCAGAGCGTTTGCTCTACATAACCATTTCACCAAGTCTCTTTTATCAGCTGAAAGTCCTCACCATCATAGTCAATTTTGCCATCGTTGTTCCTGTCCCCGTCTTTCATCAGCTCCTCGATGTCATCCTCAGTAATTGCCTCTCCTGTAGACTCCAGCATCATTTTCAGCTCATCCAGGTCAATGTAACCATCTGCGTTCCTGCACAATCAAAGCAGTCAAAATGCATTATTTGTACATAGCACACCTAAATTAAGCTTTACAGATGGCAGTGGAGGAGGTGGTGTGTTTGTGTGTGACAAGTGACTGATCATATCCTGAAGTTTTGAATGTTTGAGAACCATCAGTGTGAGAGAAAAAAAAAAAAAAGTATTGCGAGTGTGTTCTTTGATGCTCAGACGAGGTGTCTGGCTTACATGGAGTGGGTGTTTGAAATATTCTGTGCTGTCAAAAAGGATTATGGAGCAGACTACATGCTGTACTCTGCGGAGCTACTTGGCATTTTGTCAGTACACATAATTGCACATGGGGAACATACTTTGCTGGAGCTACACTAAGAAGAGCAATTTGATTGTCTGTGGTGATTTTCTCCTGTTGTAGATATTTTGTCAAGTCCGTCATTTAGTTTATACATTTAAGACTGTGCCAGTGAGCTGCTCTCGGGGCTTTAATTCTTATAATTCAATTAGACAAACTAGCACCGGTGTTTAAACATGAAACTCACTTGTCAAACATGCGAAACAGCTCCGCCAACTCTTCCTCTGACTTCCCCTTGCTGTCGTCCTTCATGCACCTCACCATCATGACCAGGAACTCGTCAAAATCCACCGTGCCACTCCCTGCACACACACAAGGTGCCTCATCACATCATTTCACTCCACACTGGATACAATTTTATATTATTTAACCACCAGTGTTCTCCTTAAAGGCCCAATCTGTGAACATAATGTATCAATATGAAAGAAATTCAAAGCACAGCACAGCAAGCTGCAATGACTCATTCACTGATTGAAAGATATTCCAAAACAAAGTCACAGGACAGCACTTAAATTATTATTTTTGATCATCATATACAATAACAAATATACCATTTATTTATATGTGTCTTATGTATTCAAGGTCGGTTAGTTAGAAAAAAACATCACATATCCACTGAAGCTTCATGAATCAAATCCATGTTGTGTTTCATCATTACGTCTCATGGAAAATTCAAGATGACTTGTGCATCATCTGATATGCATTTCGCTTTAATTCAGCTCGACACATCTTGTCATATTTAAGATCCTCGACCATCATTTGACATTAAGTTCAGAGGGTTTTGAACTACACTTGTCTGCGCAGCACCATTGTGCAATGATTGACCTGCCAGCTGGTCTGTGGGGATGAAGAGGTCAACAACAACAATCAACCCGCTATTCCATCCCATGCACCGTAGCACAGTGTAGTGTTTTGATTTACCGTCTTCATCCACCTCGTCAATCATCTCCTGCAGCTCCTCTGGCGTGGGGTTCTGGCCCAGCATCCTCATCACCTTCCCCAGCTCCTTGGTGCTGATGCAGCCGTCCTCTGCATCTTGTACGAAGATGTCAAAGGCGGCCTTGAACTCTGCAACACCACAGCAGCACATCGGAAAAACAACCCAGCGTTACGACACACGATATGGGCCCGTGCAGGGTGAGCCTCACTTTTCCTTGCAACATCATGCATGACGCGTACAGATGAAATGTGATTAAGTGATATTTGAACAGAGCACATTTTCAAAGTTGATGGCAGGTCTTAAAGGCATGCTTGAAGTAACGAGATGCACATGTGCAGTCTAAGAGATGGTTGATGTGAACGCACCATTTTTCTGTTCATCAGTCAGCTGCTCAACCTGTAAAAGACAAAAAGTTATTAAAGAGTTTATACTTTCATGAAAATATCCATTTTCTGCACATTCTCAAGTACCGTCTGGTCAAATGTGTTTATTTCTATCTAAGTCATTATAGATTTTGCTACACTTACTGAAGCTCAAAAAGTCAAGCTGCAAAATATTTACTGAATTAGTGCTGTAGGTTCAAATATCTTGAATTATGAAGTGTGAAACCAGCCTCTGAGCCAGATTATCTCTGTGTTTTGATAACTTTTCAGAAAACAAGGGTAATTTATTTGGTCCCACGGACTGGGCCATCCCTGAGAAGACACTGAACCTATATATCATATGTGAGAGCCCGTTGGAGGAGGAGTTAAAAATAAACAGACAGGAGGATCAGGAACCACAAATAAAGGACACAATACACAGTGCTTTAAATTAGCATAGCTGTGGATCTGGCCCAACAATGGAACAGTAATCCTGGAAAAGCTACCACGAATGAGAGAGGGAGACAGGTGCTTATGTAAGAGTTATTGTCTGTGGTCTACTATAAATTAAACACACACACATGTAGACACACTCATATATACATACTCCTCTCGTGATGATATATGAAAAAAAAAAAAAAATCTAAACAAACACATGTAATGTACATTCCTGTGTGTTTTTACTGTCTCAGCTGCACTGCTCACTAGGGATGTAGAGTGAACTGAGCAGCCAGCTGACCATACAGGCCGAGGTGGACAGACACCCACACGGCTCTCTGACTCATAGATAATGCTGGAATTCAGCCGTGGGGGGTTTATCTAAACCTGAAGCCCTTCTCTGGCACCAGAGGACCGCGGACGCAGAAGTGTCTCATCAACTGGCCAAAATTAGCCATTTGAAGTGAGACCGTTCCATTTGAAGTCATGAATGAAGCAGCAGAGCGGATCAGGGACCTGTCCTGTCAGTGACCTCCTGAGTGGCTCCTATCAGCTCTGATAGGGCTGAAGTAGAGGAGAACATCTAGGGACGAATATGGTGTCAAGGCTCTTTTGGCATCAGCAGGTGATGGAAGCGATGTGCTGTGCAAGTCGCATCAACAGGGATTTGTCAACCATTCAAGTGATGTCAGATGTCAAATGAACAAACTAATGAGGGACCCTTTTTTTTTATACAACAAATAAATACACAAGTACCAAAATATTTCTTATAACACCTGCTTAAATAGGATGGGATAAAAAATACAGTGTTACATTTTAAATCACTGATTTTATGTCAGTAATAATAAATGTTAGAGATTATGGTTTATGATCCAAAGCAACATCACTCTCACAGCAGATTGAGTTCACACACAGATTTTTGGTGAGCAGCTTCACACTTTCAGCTTCATGAGTTGTGAGAGGACGTACCGCTGCCTTGTAGATGTCGTTCATGGTGGAGGCTGGTCTGCTGCCTGTCCTGGCGGCGTCCTGGCACAGAGGAAGGAGGTACTGTCCAGATCAGGGCAGGACACTGGCCTCATCGTGAGAGGGTTTTATAGCTGGAGTCTGGCGCTGTCTGGCCCCTCCCCGGGGCAAACCAGTTTCCCCTCTGTTTGTGCCTCAGCGTGTGTCCACGGATGTGTGTTTGTGTATGTGTGTCATTTGGCCAATCTGTCACAATCACCAGGCTCAGATAAAAATGCGGCAGCTCTTAGGGGAGCATACTTTGGAAAGGAATGAAGAGGGGAGGGGGGGGGGACATGCATGGTGAAGCCTAATCTCCAGGGAGGGGGCTGTAGAGACACTCAACATTCCTCTAGACCTGGACCAGAGACACAGAGGGCTCAGGAGGCTGTGTGTGTGAGTGTGTGTCTGCAGGGTGGGGGGTGGTGGGGGGAGGTAAGAGGGTGGAGGCCAGGATGAGAGAGACACAGACCACAGCCAGCAGAACAAGTGGGGTGGGGGGAGAGAGAGAGAGAGAGAGAGAGAGAGGTGTGTTCAGAAAGTCAAAGATGTGATTATAAAGACAGGTATCTGCATGGGTGTATGTGCAGTGCGGCAGACATTTTGGCTTATCATAGTAGGAAAAGCACAGGTGTAAGCAAGCACATTAATGATGGCTCCATTCCATTTAAGGCTTCTAGTGAGGCTTGCCAGTGCAACACGCCAGGGCCCTGGGCCTGGAACAACAAACTGGAATGAAGCCATTGTTAATGTCGTTAGTACCACCTGGGCCTTCACTGCTAAAACCTGTCAATACGCCTGCTGCGAAAATAGGTAAGGTAAATCACTTTTTCTGCAGCTGTTCTCATCTGCAGAGAAACACAAAACAGAAGAGAAACTGAAGGATCCATCCACCCAAAAATAATCATATTCTCTCACTTACATTCGGAGGTTTTGAGGTTTGTGCCTCTACCCTGATACAGTGGAAGTGAATGGGATTATGTTTCTTTGTTTTGTTCTTATAGCACTGAAGACGACATGAAATAGATTTCACTAGAAGCATCTCACACCTCCCTGGATAATCCACAGGCATAGTTGTGAACAATTTCCACTGGAACTACTTTCTATTGAAGAAAGAGTCCCTATGAATACTGTTGACAGTCAGGTCTGCAGATTTGTTTGTGCAAAAACATGTTGATGTTGAATTTCACTGAATATATACTGAAATACTCAGTGATGTGAGCACCAGAAACGAAATTCCATTCACCTCCATTGTATTTGTTTGAGGGCAGAAACCTCAGAGACAGCTGTCTCAAAACCAGTAAGTAAAACCATTAAGTGGAAGATATGATTCTTTGAACCAACCCTTTAAAACAAAAATATAATTGTCTGCAAATATTAACCTCTACACACCTTCTACACATTAGATTTCTCCTGTGAAGAACACAACTCAGGCATTTCCCACTCTACATGATTCATGAAGCCTTTAATTCTGAGCCTTCATGTGAAACACATATCCAGCCAGCAGAGGGTGTTATTCACTACATATCGACTAAATTAAATTGTTGCGCAAGGCTGCCTCCGGATATCCAATTTATCAACAGTGGGGTAGGTGAGAAATCTGGGTCAAACAAACCAAACACTTGCAGACACATTTAAATTGAATTGTACACAGCACAAGACTTTGCAGCATTTTTCAAAAAAAATTTTTATTTCCATGTTATTTCGAAACAAGGCCATATCCATCACTTGACTGTGTGTTTCACACACACATTCACACACGTGCTCTCACAAAAAGCTCACACACACGCACGCACGCACGCACACACACACAAACGCACATGCACGTACACACACAGAGCATGCTGTGGCAGGCATTCTAAGTGACGAGTGATCATGCTGGTTTATAATGGGATGCTAATGGGGACTGGCACAGCTTACAAGCATCATACAGCCAGTCAGAGAGAGAGAGAGAGAGAGAGAGAGAGAGAGAGAGGGAGCTAACACTGAGCAACATACATGTCCTACTCTTGCACAGATACAGACACAGATCTCCTGACAAAGACCTCACATCAGTGCACATCAGTCACTTGCACAGGTTGTACCTCCATGGAAACAGACAGGCGGCAAGGTGGGGAGGGGTTGGGGATTGAGGCATTTTGTGCCCGTTGTCCTTGGGTGTTCTCTCAGTCATTCGGCAAAATTTCATCTCAAATCACACAGCACTGCCGTTGTACGTTGCTGCTGGAATTCAGAACAGAAATGAGTCGTCATCAGTGGCACTGGCTCCATCAGCTGAAACCCAAAGCATACTGATGAGTCTACATGGTCAGCCAGAAAGATTCATTTGGAGAGCCGGGTGCAGTCTGGTGGGTGCCAAGAGTGATGAGCAGCTCTGCAGGGGGCACTAGATTCTAATGTAAAGCTTTGGTTAGCATCCACACACACATACACACACACACACACACACACACACACGTGCTGTTGAACCAGAGGCTGGCACACACATCAAAGAAAGCATATGGAGTGCTGTTTCATTGGAGCTCTCCACCAATTTCCTCTTACAGAGGAAGGCTGACGAAAGAGCCAGCCATCTCCTCCACACAGCGCAATCAGACAGCGCATCTCAAATCCACAATTCACCGCACACCGCTTTTTGAGGGGTTGCCATAGAAACTCTGCTGGGTAGTAGCGGACAGAAAATGAGAGGAGATGAGCGGGGCTATTTCCCCCTCCACCTCCCTCTCTGCCTCCCTGCCACCACATTTTGTCCTCAGAGTGACTGTATTTATTTTCTATTCTTTGCCTCCTGTACGCATACATGCACACATCAAAACTGAATGTGGGGGGGGGTCACAATTAGGGTTAACAATGGTTATTTGTGCACCAGAGCCATTCATGCAAATTAACTAAATCCACAAGTCCAAATGATTATATTTCACGTCTCAGGCTGAATGCTGAAACACAATGCTCCAGTTCTTTTACACTTGCATCTAACCAGGTTATGTGAAATGTTTTGAAGTTGCACAACCATTCACATTGTGTTTGTGAATCCTACTTAACATAATAATAGTTATCTGTGTGACTTGTTATTTGAAAGGCTTCATTTCCATCATCAGCCAAAAAATTTTTTTTTTCCTTCAGAAAACATTATAGATTCCAAGTGTGCAATATGTCAAAATGCCCGAGGCGTAACATCTCATGCTGGCAGTACTGAGTCAGCTCGACTACATTTGTGAAGATCTACTACCATACACAGCATACATCGTGTCAATTTAAATACTTGTGTGATACAATGATTGGGTTGACGTGCAGCTGAGCTTGGAAGCATAGGTTCTACGCTCTCTCCTCCTCCTCCCCTCTGTATCCTCACCTCCTTGATTGCTGAGGGGAGGAGGGGAGCTGAGCCTGTCAGCCCCTTTCTTTCTCTCAATTCTTTCCTCCCTTCTTCTCTCTGTCTATTTCTCTCTCTCTCTATCTCTCTGCCTCCTTTCATTGATGACCAACCTGTCAGCAGCTCCTGTTGTGGCAGGCTGTGAATGCTCTCTCGTGTGACTGAATGATACACAGTGCTTTTTTACTTCCACTATGAAAGCATCTCTGTCTGTGCCCTCAGTGTTTTAGAAGCCCATTTTCTCATCAGTGACAATGTCTAACCCGAATTGAGGGATTTGTCTTTGGAGATGAGGGAGAGGGTAGTCTTGACTTGACTTCACTGCGCTCAGTGGTTTCCTTTCTAGAACTCTTTGGGCTGAGGCACTTGGCGTTACGCAGTGTTCCTTACATCAGAGCTCTAATGAGCCAGTGGCCACATTAGCTCCAGCGCCGATAAAGCCACGCGCTAACTTTCTGCCAGGGGGCAGCGTTTTCCAGTCCACTGGACCACCAAGTCGCCTGCCACCCTTTCTACGAGAACACCCCCCCCCCACACACACACACACACACACACACACACACACACATACACTCCTCACTCCCACCTCTATAATAGTGTGAGACACCCAGAAAAGATTTCCTCTCAGATATATGGCAGAGGAAGTTCCCTTCAAGCAAGAGAGATAATGTGTTTCTCTTGTGTGGCAGCAAAAGGAGCGGTCAAGATTCTGTCTTGAGATTTATCAGTGAACAAGCTTTACTGTGGCAATGCTGGAAAAATAAATAAATAAATAGTGGAGTTCTCAAATGAAATAAGAATTATCTCTGTAAAACTCTTCCTATTTTGGTATGTGATACAGAGCCAATCACTGCTCCAACGATTCATGAAGATTTATAATTTAACTGTTAGAGCAGAGACAAAATATAAGCTAATATGATTCAAATATTACAGTTAAGAAGGTTATAATGGAAATAGAGTTACCCCTAATGTTCTGTTTGGGTCATAACAGATCAGAAATCAAACTTAGCATTGTTTTATCACCTGGATACTTCATGACTTCCTGATTCTGTGAGAACTGCTCATAAACATGATTATCATCCAAACTATGTGGGGTCTGTGAATGACTTTTTGATAAAAAAAAAAAAAAAAAATATATATATACAGTTATATATATCTGTACATGCATAGTCCATATAACATATAACACATTAAACATTTCCTTATTTGGTGCAATAACATAGAGGAGAGAAGAGCTACTTTTCCACATAGTGAGCTATAATATTTGATGGAAAAGAATTGTAAATATCTTTATTGTTTTTATACATGCAGCATTTAGGTCTTTGCCTTGAACCTCAAACAGCAGCCAATTTAAGCCAGTGTCAACAAAACACAAAGGTATGGCACAAGTACACTACAACAACTTGTATTTTTAAGTCCTTATAAATATAGCCTATGACAAGAGTTGCCTATCTTGGTAAAAAAGAAAAAAATCCCTGCATACACACACACACACCCATTTTAGATTTGTCAGTGCCTCTGCCTTCTCCTCTTCCCCTCAAATAACTGCTCTCTGAAATGGAATCCGAGGGCCCTCAGGGTTTCTGACAATGTTTCAGATATTCCTAAGTAAAAT